CTGGCCCGAGCTCATGGCCCCTGTGGTGTCTTCCCCTTCTGCCCTTGTTCTCCTGGCCCTTCGCCAGGCTGTTTCCCTGCATCCCCAGGGCTTGGGCAGCCTCTCAGCCTAGGCTTTGTCCAACCAGAGTCTCAGCTCAAACATCACAGTCCTGAGGGGCCCCCTGGCTCAGAGGTGGCCCTCAGCAGCTGAACCTCCACACGGCTGCCAACCCCACACTTTCCCACTGGCCCCTGACATGAGTCACCTGCCCTGTGACATGGGAATTGTCAGCCTCCGCCCGCGGGACGTGGCCTTGCTCTGGGGGACCCCGCCAGCCGTCCCCGAGCCCAAACCTGCGCTGGCCCCAGCAGGGCCTCCGTCGGCATTTTGGGGTCCCAGGTGGAGGGGCCGCTGTCTGGAAGCACCTGGGGGCCCTGCTGAAGGAGTTTCCACCTGCTCATCAGGTGCTCTGGGCCCTCAGACTGTTCTAAAGAACAGTTATTGGTGTGGTCAGAAGAATTCCCAGATGCTGTGGAGAATCCCGGCATCATCCCCAGAGGAAGACGGTGTTTCTAGTCTGGAAAATCAACAGGATTCTGGACAATTGCAGTACAAAGAGATACCTTATTCCCTGAGTCATTTAGAAGAAACCTGACTGCCTGCCCCCTATCACCCCTGATGGTTTAGGGTGTTTTTCTTCAAACGAGGCTGCCCGCTGCATAGCCACAGAGCTGCCAGCAAGGGTAGCCATTAACGCTGGAGCTCCCCACCCTCGGGCCTCGAGCTCTCCCTGCGCCGCCCCTGACGGCAGGGCCCCGGCGGTCACGCTGCTCTCCTTCCTAGTCTGGACCTAGGTCAGCCACGTCTGGCCACTTTCCAAGGTGCTGTGTCAGTTATTTCCTGATACAGCAGCACTGGGTCCAGCTCACTGACTGCAGATCCAGCCCTTTAAAGTGGGTTTGGCTGGTCGGAGTCATCACCCATCACCACTACTGGGTTTTAGAATAACATCTCAGGAGGAAGAAACCTTTGCCTCTCGCGGCCACTGTCCCAGCCCCTGGGCACCTGTCTGCTCTCCTCAGCTAGGGATGGCCTGTTCCAGACACTTCCAACAAGTGGAGGCCTGTGTGGGTCCTAGGCCAGGAGTGTGGGCTGACACTTCCCATTAAGCATCGTGTTAGGGGCAGCACAGGCGCGACGTCCCCGCTGCACATGGCCTCAAGCACGCACAGTCTGATATGTCCCATTCCTGATGGTGTCCCAGTGGGGGAGGTGGCGTGACGGCTGGTGGGGAGACCAAGAGCCACCGTGCATGAAGCTGCTTCCAGGTCCCGAGGCCAATGTTAGAGCAGCCGGTGGAGTTGGAAACCAGGGCAGTGAGAGGCTGTAGCCTGCAGGGGGCTGCAGCTGACGGGGTGGGCCAGACGCAGGTTGTGCCTCAGTATAGGTCACGGTGAAGGCCCCAAGATGGGTGCCTAAGAAGGTAAGTTCTGCTCGACCGTGGGACACAGCACACCCTCAGGCAGCCCTGGGAGGCGAGACAGCCAGCAGGGCGGGTGGCAAAAGGGACAGACATAGAGACGTGGGCACAAAAGAAAGAGACAGAAAGACAGGGGGAAGAGGATGCCCGGGCAGGCCTGCTCAGGACGCCATTTGCGTGCGCAAGACCCAAGAGACAGCAGTGTGGCTGCATATTCTGTCACTTGATGACAGAAGTTTCGACGGGAGAGGTTAGTGACCTAGCTGGTCTCCAGACTCCGGGTTCCTAGACCGGGTATCTCTGCTCTTCCTGTCCAACACCACTTAAAAGCAGCCTGGAGGAGGCTCACTGTGGTTTCGCCCCTGTCCCTTGGGTGACCTTGGCTTTGCCTTGAACATCTTCTAGTTCTTCTCCTACAGCGTGGCTCCCCGGGAACAGAACAAGGAGCAAGGGGGAGCCCTTGCTCCAAAGCCCCGTGGTGTTCAGCTATTGCCTACAGAAGCGCATCACCTGTCTGTCTGCCGCCGGCTTACCTACAGAGAGCTAAGGAGCTGATTCACGAGATTCTGGGAGGCGCTAAGTCCAAAACCTCAGGGAAACCTCCGTTCTGGCCCTGTGGGCCTGCATCTGACTGGGCGAGGCCCACCCACCCACTTTCCTGGGGGCCACGTCCCTTCTTTCAACTCTGCTGACATTGGGGCCGCCCAGCTCTACAGAGGCCCCTGCAGCAGTCAGACGCCCTTGGACTAGCTGGGCGCTCCGGCTTAGCCAAGCTCGCACTCAACAAACTCACCGTCCCGGCTCTCCCCCGGCCAAGAGGCACCCACGGGCATTATCACCACGAGCACTGTCCAGCACGCTTCCACGCCCCCTTTCAAGCTGGGCCACATCGCGAGTCGGCTCAGGGCCCGGATGGAGCAGCAGCCTCCCTGTGCTGGGGAGACAAACGAGGAGCACCGATCATTTGGTGCAAAGGTCATTGGTCCCACAGGGTCCCTGTTAACTTCGATTGAGTCATCACCAACTGAACAGCACAGGCTCAGATAGTTCAGAAAGGCAGCTTGAAAAAAAAAGGTACGAGTCACCAGACACTGAAAAGTAAGTTAAACACTAAAAAGTAATTAGAGCTGGAACTAAAAAGCAAAAGCTAAATCCTTCACACTAACAGACTTCAGTGAGCATGAAACAAAGTCCAAATCATGAAAGGAACCAGACCTTAAGATAACGAAGTCTGTAAGGAATGGAAAAAGATCAAATCTTTACATCAAATGACAAAAAAATCATTTCTTTTTCATCACTGAGGTTTGATGTATTAAAAAAAATCATCTTTAAATATTAGGAAGCAATCTTCACCACCCAAGGTGGTTTTTAAATAAGACTTCTCTGCTGGTAAAACACACAAATACATTATCTTCCTAATTATGATTTAAGGAAGGCACACCACACATTAAACTGGTTAGTTAACATAAAGAGGAATTCACCAGAAAGAAAGCATTTTGGAAACAGAAGAATGAAATGAAAATTTAATTGAATGTGTGAGAACTAAACTTGATCTTGAGCTTCCTGGCAACCAAAGCAAAAACGGAATATAAGGATCTGGCCATTCTTCTTTAGTGCATGCATTCTCAAGGGGGTGAACATAGCATATCCGGGGGTAAAGGCACCTCATTTTGCTAATGCAAAGTGCATAGCTATATACAAGTATATAAATAGACATAAATCTATATTGCTAAAACTTCACAATGGGAAATGATTAGCACAAGAAGACCTCAATGGCACTTTGGAAGTGAATACTGACTAGAAGTTGAGAAACACTGCCTGAGTAAAAGCTGGGGTGCTGCTGCGTCTGGAGACACAAGCGATCCCCCTGGAGCCTATTCCAGAAGGATGTTCAGAAGACTCTCAGCCACAGAGGTCAATTTCTCCTTGAGAATATTCTTGCAATACAAGCCTTGATTTAAAGGGTGAAGGCATTTTGTATCTGCATAGATTGAGAAGTTCATGTTGTATAAATACAGTTGACTACTTAGATTTCACATTAGGAAGTTTCTGTAGCTCGTTTTGCAGAAATGCCAACCTCCCCGCATCACTGTGGGCTTCACTGCATACTTCTTGGCTCTAAAGTCCAGCATGCAAGTCACAGCACTTGGTGGGGAGACCTGTGTGTGGGGTCCCCCGAAAGTAGAGAATGGAGATAATCTAGGGAGACTTTCTGAAGGAGGCTGTGAAGCAGAGAGAGATGAGCCCAGATGTCATTCTAGAATAAAAACAGCCATTTTCTGCAGGGCCAGGAACCATTTTTAGAAGTTGTGGTGACAGCTGATGTAACGTGAAATGCCAACTAACTACCCCAAAATCACCCAGTGTCAGAGGCCCGCCGCTGCCATGCTCACCCAGCAGGGAGTGCCAAGGCAATATTTTAGGATCCTGCATGGTGGCCCGCTTCCAATGTACTGGATGGTGGATGAACATCTCCATCCAAGAGCAGGGGTTCACAAAGAAAAAAAATCTGTATTAACATGTCCAAAATTCCTAGGGGTGGACTGAATATTTGCAAGTCTAATAAATTGCATAACAGCCCCCGAGCCAGAGAAAGATCCTCCCAGTCTCTGGGGTTGCAGCAGCCTCCTCTGGCTGGAGGGCCAGAGGCATATCCTGTGGTTTAAAAGGGGAGCCATTTGGGGAGCGTGCCGGAGAGCGTGCTCCACGGGAGAGAGGCCCCTATTGCTTTATTTCTTGCCACCTAAGATCCAGGAAGGGTTCCAAGCTGACTCTCAAGTGAAGTGACACAACCAACTGGAAAAAAGCCCTCTCTCAAAGTAGGAGCTGAAAAGGCTAAAAGGAAGCAGGAATAAGGTGCATCGGAGAACCTGGGCCGGGGTGAGGGGGAGGCTTTCAGAAGCGCTGAGCTCCGCTGTCAGGGAGGACACGCAGCGCCACAGAAGCACTTTCTAGCTGGGCTCCGAGGCCATCTATGAACAAGCATGTCTGAGGACATGTGCACGCAGATGGCACGTCACAAAGCTTCTCAAAACAACAGCGGCGCTGGTATTTACATCGGGGGGTTGGTAACTGGCTAAAACTCTCAGCCATAGACAGAACGTCCATCAGGTCATCAAGGTGAAGACTCAGACCTGGGAAGCAGCTGGACAGATTTTCCTCCACTGCCAAACATTCCGGCAGGCCCCGTTATGAGTTTAGTTTACATAGGAAGGAACAGTGAGTTATTGACATTGAATGTAATTCTTCTTGACCCGGAGACTCTGGTCCTCAGCTGTTTCACCCTCAAGACACGATGTTGCTGCTGAGGCGCAGAGGTGGGGCTGCTGGGCTGTCTCCTCCAGGGGACAGAGGCTGCGGAGGGTCCTTCAATCTTCACTCAGCTCCCTGGTCAGGGGTGGGGGATGGAGCCGGAGACCAGCAGGTGGTGGAAAGAGGCGCGTCACTTCAAGTCTACGCAGGTGGCTCTGCTCGCCTCTGCCAGAGCCGGGAGGGGCCTTCCTAGGACGTGTCACGCCCTGTTCGCCGGACAAAAACACAAGACGGCGGGCGTGCGTCTTTTTAAATAACATTTTATTTCTCATCGTCAATGATTAACTTTTGACGCTACTAGAAGAGTATCAGGATTACAATGAATAAAAAAATATAGATGAGAGAATAAAAATATTAAGGGATACAAAGTTAGTTTTTAAAAATCATTGTCCACCACTGTTTTCAGGAGCCCTGACACAGACAGCCTTGCTGAGTTATTTTACATTTCCAGCGGTTAAAAATTAAGAACATGTAGGAGAATCATTTGCGGATGTTTATTACAATAAATGGAAAGACGACAACAATTAAAACAAGTTCTAAGAACCACCATATATACAACCATCTATGTACAGAATGAGGACGATACAGATTGTAAAACCGTCATCCAAACCGTCTCTCGGGGTATACGTGTTCTTTTTTCAAAAAGAAAAAGCATCTTCCTATACTCGCAATCACTTTTCCACTTGATCCAGTATTTTTAATGGTGTTTCCACTCCATAAATTAGTAACTGTTCAGTAGCTGAGAAATATCCTATCTTAAATACACGGAGGAATCACTTCCCTGAAAGGGTCGCCCTTAGCTGCTGATGCGGGTTGAGGCTATGACCCGCCTGCGGTCACACCAGCAGCCGCGGGAGGCGGGTCGGAGGGGGCAGCTGGGAGAGGAAGCCGGGCTGGGCTTAGAGAAGCTGTGGTGCCAAGGTCACGACCGCGCCCTTCGCGACAGCCCCGGCCCAGCCTGCCCACGAGACTCCACCAGGCCAGCCGAGCTCTCCGCTAGCGTGGCATTTGGCACAAAAAGCAAGCACTGTTGGGCAAGACCGAAGCTCTCTCAAGATAGACTCAGAAGCCCCCAGTTTTGAAAAACACGCCGTGGGCCCCAGTCCCTCCCCCACCGCGCTCCCCAAGGCCAGGCGCGCCGCGGCTGGAAAGAAGTCCTGTTAGGGAAAAGCAAAATTGCACTAAACGTCAGACATCGCAGGCCCATGAGGTAAACTCCAGACACGGAGAACGACACGGAGGAGGGGACAGCTTGCTCTCTGAGCCGTCGGCCGCGGTCACTGCACGATCCCAGAGTCCACCGACGTCTGCTTGCGCGTGGTCTTGGGGGGCGGAGGAGGTGGGGTTTTGCTGGGCAGTGGGGGCGGCAGGTGCTAGGAGACACGAACACAGGGAGACAGCCCGTAAGTGATGGGCAGACAGGAAGGAGACTCGCCAGGTGGGGTACCCGGCATGTGGCGGGGCAGGGGTGGAGCTGAACCCGCACACCTGGGGGCGCTGCCCTCTCCGGGACTTGGAGGTGGCAGGTGGGGGCACACTGCGGCCACAGAACCCCTGTTCGGAAGCAAACAGTACAGCCCCTGTCCCTGAGGCGGCCTTCAAGCCGGGGCCCCCGGGAGCAGCCTGCTTTCCGAGCTGGCCTGTCCCCTGGCTGAGAGCAAGCAGCACGGGCAGAGCAGGACCCCGGGCCGCCAGGGAACCTGGCCCCTCACAGCGAAGGCTTCTCAGGGAGGGCAGCCCACGTGTCCCCTAGAGATGTCCCTGAATTTTCAGGGACAGAAAAGTCCTTGGAGACACTCTCTGGGGCGGATGACAGGCCAGGGGACCATTTACAGGGCAGCTTCTCATCCACGGTCTCTTCCGAAAGGACCCTTGGAGGGAGATGACCAGGTCCTGGGGGTAAAGTCCCCGGGAGGACAGTGCTGTCAGAGACGGTGCGCCCGTGTCCCGGGAGAACTTACAAGAACAGGCACAGGTTCGCGGGGCCGTGGCGGCACCAACCTTGGGTTCCCCAGAATCACAGCTGTGGGGTGCTAACAGGTTGGCCGGGTGATGACCGCCCCACGCCCGTCCCGGCCCACGCGGGGGCTGTGTGAGCGCGAGCCGACCCCACGGCGGACGAGGGAGGGAGAGTGGGCACGGGCGAGCGGAGCACGTGGATGGCCGAGCGGGTGGACAATGCGGTCCCCCCGCCCCCAAAAGGGGGCACACGCCATGGCAGTGACACAGGGAACGCCGCCCGCTCCTGAGAGGACAGCGGATCTTTCACCGCCGCGGGAGCGGGCTGCGCTACGCCGGCAGGAGAAGAGCAGCTTCACGGATGGGGTGGCCAGAGGGCCTTGCTCCCCGCCCAGCTGGGCCGCTGCTTCGCAGACACGTGAGCACTAACTGACCAGTTAGTGCGGACGCGACCACCGGGCGGGACAGAGCTCGGTGACCTGAGGCCTGGCCAAGAGGACGGGAAATCGCAGGCTGGGGAGCGCCTGCAGGGTGTAACCACAGTTCATGGCCATGATTTCGGGCCTGACACTACGGCTGTTCGTTTTAGGGTGACTGCCCCAGTGCTGGCCCCCCCCATGCCAGCACGACACTGAGGTGCCCCACACAGCAGGGTTGTCACTCTGGCAAGGAGGCAGCTCTGATCACGGTTGGCCAGGGCCACTTGGAATGAAATGACAGCTTCAAGCAGCCGCAACAGGGACAGAGCTGATGACAGGGAGGGGAGGATACCACAGACACTCACCCTCTGGTGAGGCGGCGGCAGTGGGGGCGTTGGTGACCCCGCCAGCTCCGGGGTTTCCATCAGATTCCCGTAGTCCGCCAGGCTGCCCTTGAGAGGCAGAGGGGGCGGGACCTCCGTCATGTCCAGCCCGCTTATGCCGTTCAGCTCCAAACCTGGAAAACAGGAGGGACTGATGTCTGAACCCCACCCCACTGAGTGGGGTGCACGGGGCGGCCTCCTGCTCTCCAGGAGAAGTGGGGGGCACTGTGAAGGGGCAGAGAAGGGGGTGGAGGAAACGCAAAGGGTGGAATCCCCTCCTAAAGGCATGTTCTAGAAAGCAAATAGCAAGCCCCTGACACGCCTAAATGGGGGCTCCGAGCGAACCTCCATCCTCTGTAACAGCAGCTGTGTCGTCCCCGGGGCCCTTAGGGTCCCTCCTGCGACCCCTTGGCTGCGGTGGCATCTAGATAGCAGGGCATCCCGAGGCCGGCCAGGCCTAGCACTGGGGGAGCCCGGCAGGACCTGCACCTGGAGAGCTTGACCGCGGGAAGCCCAGGGGTGCGGCGGCAGCAGCCCCTGCTGTGGGTCTGCCCTGACAGGAGAGCCCACGCTTGTCTGGAGTGACCCGTGGAGCTGCCGTCTGTTGCTCTGAGTAAGTGGCGGGGACGTGCAATTGATTTTTAATGTCAACTGAAAATCAGCCTCTTTCAGAGACAGCATCACGAAAACAGGTTATTTTCTCAACCTGGGTTGAGGCTCTTGGAAATAATTTCTTCTACATTAAAGAGAGGAATGTTGTCATCTTTTCTGATGGCCTCTTGGAGAGATGTCCTGGCTAACCCATCGGATGAAAAATCCTCATCGGACAGTGTTTCCCGGGAAGAGCTGGCTAGGGAGGCCGGCGCCGGGGTGCGAAGTCTGCGATGGAGTGACTGGAGTGACTGACAACAACCCCACGTGGGGGCTGGTGGTTTTACTGTGGCAGAATGTATATAACCTGAAACCTGCCGTTCTAACCACGTTAGGTGGACAGGCCAGTAGCACTTCCACCCACACCGCTGTGCAGGCATTGCTGCTATTTCTAGAACTTCTTATCACCCCATTGAGCGCAGTCCTCTCGTCTTCCCTGTCCCCAGGGCTGGGAACCGCCCATCAACTTTCTGTCTCTACGCCTCTGCCTATCTTAGACAGCTCAGGCAAGAGGCCCAGCAGAGGAGCAAGTGGAATGCCGCCATTTACAGCAAACTGGAGGGAGGGAGCTGGCGGGACGACGTGTACAAAGCCAGAGCGAATGACAAGGACAGGTGCTGGGCATTTACACAGCCGGCGACCTGCCAGAGTAAAATCCTTACAAAAACTAGCAACACTAATACACCGAGCAGGGGATGTGAGGCTAGGAGGGCGCAGAGGGAGAATTGCTGGGAGCAGAATTGCAGTACTCCCAGATTAAACTTTGAGGGGCCCCCCAAGTTTTCCACAGCAGGTGCAATGGTGCATGTTTTTAACTTAAAAAAATAAGAATAACATATTTATAGAAAAAGTACGCGCATAACAGCGTCAGGACGTGGAGCTGCAGCAATCCCTTCTCAGCTCAGAAAACTCCATGCTCGCGGAGTTTAAGTTCACCATGGCAGGAGCCCTCCCCCCACCTGCTCCCCAGAATTGCTACTGCTCGCTGGTCAGCAGGCAGAAGGCAGGTGCCAGGGCCATTGTCCTGCCTGCACAGGCCTCCGGACCACTTCCTGCCCCTTCCTAACACCACAGGGAGGACAGCCACTCTGCTCCGGCTCCTGCCCCCACCCTCTGCCCCACTTCCTGCACGTGGAAACAGTCCTCGCGGGTATAATTGACCAGGGATCTGGAGAGGAAACCGCCCTCGATACAGGGGGTCTGAGAGCCGTGGCTAGTGTCTGCCAAGAGCAGAAGCCCTGAGAGGAGGCCCAGTGCAGATGGGAGGGGGCCAAGGCGGGGCTGCTGGGAGGCTGGGACAGCGGGAGCCAGCAGGGCTGGAGCACATCCCTGCCCAGCCTCTACAAGGAGCAGCCCTGCTGACATCTTAATCTAGACTTGAGGCTCCACACTTAGCAGAGAATCAGTTTCTGTGGATTTAAGCCACCGCGTGTGCGCCTTATCAGCAGCCCTAGACGCCGGGCAAACTAGAAAAACCTCAGGCCCTTAGCCCTTGAGGACAACTGGAAGGGGCGTTCACTGACCCCGCTCCAGGGACAGGAGCCTAGGGCCGGATGCGCGTCACCTGGTGATAGTAAGGGGCTGTTGCACACGGCTCAAGACCCCCGAGGAAGAGGCTGAGCGAGCCTGGCAGGGACCCACCCTTCTCCCAGGGACTCAGGGCGCCCAGGGCTCGGTGTTGGCCCACTCTCCTAAAGCCTCAGGACTAAGGCCGGGGCTCGTGGGGGTCTCCCAGCTGCTGCGGGGGAGGGGAGGGGTCCACCTGAAGGGACACCGATCAGGGGTCACAGAACCAGGCGGTGAATGGGGGGGGACGCACAGAACCCCACTTACTGGACTGCAAGCTGAAGCTCAGCTTGGCCCTGGGCGTGACGGGAGGGGGCGCCTGCTGGGAGGTCGGCGATGATGACGGGGACACCGAGAAGCGCCTCTCACCCCCGATGACATTGATCACCTGGCTCTTCGGTCTCTGGGGCCGCAGGGGACTTATCTGCATTTCGGGGACAGAAAGAGCACAGTTAGGGCCTGTCATGGGCAGTGCTGTGTGACCCCCGCATTCCTGTCCAGTCCTAACCCAGCGCCGAGAGCGGGACCCCATCCAGAAGTTGGGTCCTTGCAGAGGCCACTGGCGGACCTCATCCGGTGAGCGGGTCCTGGAAGGGGCGTCTGGCCGTGACAGGCACAGGGGACGTGGCGACAAAGGCCCTTCCCTGCCGCTCCAGGCTCTTCCCCAGCTAAGCCCCCTCCCTCAGCATCACAGGGAGTTCATGTATTCTTCCAGCTCGGTCTCGGGTCACCAGGCCATACGGCACCCCGGAAGGAGTCATCAGAAGCAGCTGCTAACCAGGGTGAAGGAGGAACTGGGACCGGCCCCGGGAACGGCAGGGGTGGCGGGTCCCAGCCTGGTGCTGCGGCTGGATTCCCGGGCCTGGCCAGTGGGGGCCTGGCCAGCGGACAGTACTGACTGGGGCTGGCAGACGACCAGGGGTGCAGCATGTGCCTCCAAGAGGTCTGCAGGGTCAAGGCCCAACTAGAGGTCAGTGGGGCTGCTGAGCAGCCTCAGGCCTCTGAAACTCTCCCGGCCCACCCTGCGCCTCTTTGGGGTGAGCATCTGCCCTGCTTTTCTAAGAAGCTCTACTCTGCTGCCCCAGGCCCCACAGCAGGGGAGCTGGATGCGCCCCCCCTCCCCCCCACCGGCGACTGGTTACAGCAACTTGAGTAAAATCCAACAGCCCATCCCACTGGCTGGACGGGGCGCCAAGGGCTGACCCAGGCCCGGGAAGTACCGTTTCCGAGAGGATCACGGCCTCCGACTGCTGCAGGGGGATGTCCGTGGGCTTAAAGTCTTTGTCGAATATCTCCTGGTGCTTGCTGTTCCTTTTCTCCTTCTTCTTGTCCTTCCTCTCCTTGTCCGGGTCATCCTTGTCCAGCTTGTCCTGGGACCTGGAGTGCATCTTCTTGGGCAGGAGCGGCTCCAGCGCATACCTGAGGGGACGGTGCTTTAAGCCCACAGTCTCCACAGGAGAGGGCGGCTTCTCGTGGCTGGCGGACGGAGTCGCTCGCAAGAAGGCTAAGTGTGGACCGGGAACCCGTGGGTCGCACAGGAAAGAAACGACTTCAAAGGGAGGCTGAGGAGGCCGAGAGCATGGGGACCAGACCCAGGGCTGGGCTGTGTTCCCACCCTAATGGGGACAACTGCACAGTGACAGGACGCTTACGGGATGGAGGGGCATGGAGGTCTGGATATGCCATGAGGACATTCGAGGATTATTGCTGATTATGACAAGGCTGGCTTCAAGGGTATATTTCAAAAGGGGGACCCTTTCCCCCCCACCCCAGCCCTCTGTTGCTGGGCACTTAGGTTGTTTCCAAACTTCATCTATTGTAAACAGTGCTGCAGGGAACACAGGAGAGCAGACATCCCTTTGAATTTGTGATTTGCGTTCTTTGGACAGATTCCGAGGAGCGGAATTGCTGGATCACGTGGCAGACATACACAGCGAAATACTACTCAGCTATGAAAAAGGTGAAGTGTTGCTATTTGCTACACATTGATGGAATGGAAACGATATGACTTTGCCTATGTGTGGATTATAAGGAAATAAAACAAGGGAACTAAATCAAAACAAGCCCTAGGAATCCAAATGTAGAATTGAGGCTACTACATACGGGAGGGAGGTGGGGAGCACAGGGGCAGGGGCCCAGTGGACTTGGGGGATTATGGATGCTTTGATGGTAGGTCTGGGAGTAATGAACATGTGATGAGGTGTGAACATGTGCCCCTAAATCACATACAGCATTGTATATGAGGTCACCAACGTGATCTCAATAGCAAAAGTGAAACAGTTTTAAAAAGGGAGGCCTGCAGACAAGAAGCAGCCAATGGAACACTGAGCTTGAACACACGGTGGTAGAAATCCCATGCACAGACCAGCCAAAAGGAAAAATTAAAATACTGCAGAGCAATGTCAAGAGACAATGACCCCATCATAGGGTCCAAGAAGGAGAGCGAGAGAAACGGGTGGACACTTTATTTAAAGAAACAGTAGCCAAGAATCTCCCTTACTTGAGAAGGGAAGCAGACATCTTGGTCCAAGAGGCCCAAAGAGTTTCCTCCCCCAAACCCCAAAATAAAAAGAACTCCAAACAGACTGCAAGACAAATTATAATTAAACTGCTGAAAAATAATGATAAAGAAAGAATACTAAAAGCACCTGGGAAAAAGAGATTATATTAAGGGAACCTTTATAAGATTATCTACAGATTTCTCAGTGGAAACCTTCAATCCAGAAGGAAATGGCATAACATATTTAAAGTCCTGAGGGAAAAAAGATTTCCAACTGAGAATACTTTATTCTGCTAAGCTATCTTTCAAAATTAAAGGCGGAAAAAAGAGCAGAAAAAAAACCCACTAAAATAATTCATCACCACTAGACAGGTTTGCAAGGAATATGAGTGGGAGTCTTCTGAAATGAAAAAGAAAAAAATTCTACCTAGAAGCAGTAAGACACCAAAAACATAGAATGCAGATGCGGAGAATAAAAATGTGAACCGGGCCTCCCCTGGTGGCGCAGCGGTTGAGCGCTGGGCTGCGAGGCTGCGAGGCTGCCTGCAGCCTCTGCAGCGCCGGTTTGTTCCCTGGCCGTGGCGAGGGTCCCACAAAAAAAAAAAAAAAAAAAAAAAGCAAAAACTTGAAAAAAAAAAAAAAAAAAAAAGAACCATCAGAAAGAGTCTGGCATCAGTTTGCCCGTAAGTCCCAGTACAGAGCTGCACACACAACCTCACGGTAACTGCAAACAAAAGCCAGAGGAGAAACATAAGAAACCTGAAAGGGAGCCCAGACATAAGACAAAAGGTCACAGAGCATGAGAGAAGAGAACAAGAGAAAAACAAGAGAACAAAGCCAACGGTAACCACCCCCCCAAATCCAAACACACGCAGTACTGTGATTTCAGTAACTGCTCTAAATGCAAATGGCTTGAACTCACCCATGAGAAGGGACAGAGTGACTACAGATCAGAAACCAAAATCTAAGTTTTTGCTGCCTATAGGAAACTAATCTTAGCTCTAAGGATAAACAAAGGCTTAAAACAAGAGGTGGGGAAGGATAATCAAAAAAGGGCGGGCAACCTATACTCACGAGACGAAACAGGTTTCCGTAGGGAAGGTAGTAAGTGACAGCAGTGGACACGACGCAACGACCGAGAGCATAAAACTAGACGATGTACCACTTGCTGATACTATGGAATCACTCTATTTTATGTTTAATAAAGTTAGTATAGTTGTACTTATTAATACAACTATACTAACTTGTATAAATTAAGTTCTTCTAGAAACTCACATGAAATATTTATGGACAAAATGACATGGCGCTTAGGACTGGCTTCCAGATAACAAGGGGGAGAAGCTGGTAGCAGGTAGGTTGAAACAAGACTGGCTGGTGGGCACAGGGCCTCCTTATAACATTCATTCCTTTTTGTATATAAGTCTGACATGTTCACATTGAAAACTTCAAGATGATTGATGGAATAAACTAGCATTGACTTTGACTACTGAGGTATTTCGGGCTGTGGATTCCTCCCAACTAGATACACATGAACCTGCAGACCTGGCTCCACTAGGTGTTAGGCATTACATCTGTTATGATAGTCAAAGCTCTTCATGGTTTTATTAAGTCTTGCAGAACTTGAGACAATTAATGTGTGTGGGGGGTCCTTCCAACTCAGGGGAAGCCCCGAGTGTGAAGTCCAGGGGGGCCTACAAACAGGCAGGAGAAAGAAGGCTGTGTTCGCACCGTTCACTTTACGAGCAGCAGCTGTGGGCAGGGGAGTGTCCTGTGCATGACCTGTGCCAACTGAGACCATTTTCTGCTAAGGATGGTAACCCAGGAATGAACGAAAATCTGGGCTCTAATAAAGATGCCTCCCAGTTCATGGCTGAACAGATGCCTGCTGGGCAGGAGCGAGGGCCACACGCCCGCGTGGCATGCGCTCTTCATCCAACTCAAATCTCCGCATCAATCTCCTTCTCAACCCCTACAATCCTGGAAATATAAAACCCTCTGCATAACTAGCTTGGGGATTTTCTTGGGAAGAAGTTGAATTAAATTTCTTTAGCAATCTTGCTCTAAGTGACAAGCACACATGATTTAAATACCTCTAAATTGAGAATTTCCATATGGAGTTGGCCTTATAAGTAGCAGGCACTGATAAAGATTACTGTTAAGAAAAAAAAGTGTGGGTATAGTTTCCATTCTCTGCTGGGAGCAGGGGTTGTTGGCAACAAAGGGCACTCAGACGCTGGTGTCTGATGCCGCAGGGGCCAGGAGCTCCCGTGTGGGGAGGGGGATGGGTTGCCAACCCAATGGGATTGTACAAACACAACCGTGCAAAGTCAACAGTAAAACAACGAGCAGCTCTCCTGGGAGGTCTGAATGGCTCGTGGCCGCTCTCATCCTGTAGCACAAGCCCGCGTGTCCGCTACTCACAAACACACCACAAGGATCCACAGCAGGTTCTCTTGGTGACATTCTGAGTTAATACAAGACATGCAGGGAGCATCCAGGGAATGTTCACAGGAGGCTCTGGGGGGGCTTGTTCTGACCCACTCACTGGGTGCTACGGGTCCCCAGCAGCAGATGTGGCCCCAGGAGGCCTTGCAGAAAGGTGGGCTGGCCAGACCTCAGTGAGGCTGATGGTGGGCGATGCCCGGGGCTGACTCCCTGGGAGTGAGCCGAGATGCCCAGCCAGGAAGGCAGGGAGACTCTTCCGGGGAATGCTGGACGGCACCCTCGCTGGACATTTTAGAGTTTGATGCAAACTTACCCAATGGGAGAACCTTTTTCTTAAACACTCACAAGACCCTGCAAGTCACACTGGGAGCTGAGGCTGTGAGGTCTTGGAGAGTCTCCATTTCCAAGAGTTTTGGCTTTAAAAAGCTCTCTTGGTGCTGACGAGACAAACCAGGGTCCTGCAGCTCCTGGCAGGCCCCTCCCCAGCCTCTCCCAACCCCCCCCCCCGCCCCGTGCCCAGCGAGACTCACCCATCAGAACCGGGCCTGGAGGGGGTGCTGTCGGATGACAGGGAAGAGACAGAGGCCACCGAGAGAGGCCGGGACGAAGACGGCATGGTGAAGGACCGGACCATGGAGCGGGGCCGGCTGCCTCGCCTGTCGTCCAGGCCCGAGGGCTGGGAACGGGGAGAGAGGGAGAGAGAGAATTGTAAGGATTAAAAAAACTGCAAGTTCTTTCATTTTGACCAATATCTCACAAATTCCACCAACTCCCAGTCCCTAGTAACCATCTTCATAGTCCCTGTATACATGAGTTTGAGATTTTAGCTTCCACATACAAACGAGACAGAGCGTGATGGAGGGACAGGAGAGAGGCGGGCTGCCTGGCGCGGGCAGACCCCGGGCCGCGAGATCTGAGCAGCCTTGGCTCTGGACCGCAATGTCCACGCTTTCACGAACAGCACTTGTCCTTGTTCACCACTGAACACAAGCTACTGATTATCTCTGGCCTTTGAATCCTGCCTCCATACTGTGAAAAATACCAGAAAGAACGTTTTTGGTTTTAAAAATTTCTCAAGCAGTTTTCTTTACAAAGACCACAAGACATGGACCTATTCCAAGGTCGTAACAGACTATCAGAAGATTTGATTTACAGAGCAGCACGTAGAAGGTGACTAAAGAACTCGGCAAGCTCTCAGATGACCTTCTCCCCTCTGCACTGACGTAGGTGCACAGCCCCAGGGACTGCCCTTCTCCAGGCCAGGACGAGATGCTCTCACTGCTTAACCCACCCTCCCTGCCAGGGCTGGCCGCGAATCCACCCACGCCAAGGCCTGAGCGGCTCCTGCTCCTCCTCTGGCCACAGAGTAGAAGAGGGTGTGTCTGAAGAGACTGGTTTGGGGTAGCGCTCTCTGCTCTCTTGTCGACACGGGGTTGCACCTTCCCAAAACCAGCGTCACTGACAGAGCACGTGTTAACATCTAATTAGCTAAAGATACGAGTGTTCCCGCATCCCCAGCTAGACGTTGGCACAGCTGGGGCCTCAGCAGCTGCAGAAGGTACTTCCTTGAACCTGGGGTTGTGGAGACCCAATTTCTGGGGGACATTTCCTCTCTGTGGGGCTCCGACCTCCCTGCCGCCAAAGCTGGCTCTCCTTCAGCCAATCACGGGCCGCAGATGTGCTCAGGACCGGACTGATCAGGGTCGCAGGACCCACCCCCACCCCCACCCCGAAGCAGCCTGTTTCTTAACCATGGACCTCGCATACGAAATCCTATTTACACTTGTACTTCTATCTCCAGAACAGGAAAAGGCACACAAGGCAAACGAACAGCTGAAAGCAGGAGATGGCAAACTTCCTGCAAAGGGCCAGAGGATCAGCACTTAAACGCACAGTCCACCTGCTCTGCTCTGCTGCTGAGGCAGGACAAGGACCCCGGGCCACACAGGCCTGCATGAGCGCACGGCTGCGGGCCAATAAAACTTTATTGACAAAAACAGGTTTTGGCCATAGGCAGCCAAGCACAGGTTCAAAGCCACTGGCAGCAGAGACCTGCCAGCATGGGGGTTCTGGTCAGCCTTGGGTGGGGCGCCAGGGACAGTGCCTGTCACACGCCATATCACCTCCCCATCTTCTGGCTGAGCAGACACCCTAGAAGCGGAGGCATCTGGGCTCGGGTTGTTTTTATCTGAAGAACTGGATGCTCTCTGTCCTGACGGGACACTGAGCGGCCGGTGTCCCATCCCAGCTGCAGGGCAGGCAGGGGTAGGGGGTTGGGACAGGTTAGACTTTTGACTCAGACCCCTGTTTTGTGACCTCACATAACATGTGGGACCCTCTGAGCCCCCACTTTCACCTGACCCCATGTCAACAGGGGAGGGAATGCACCCCTCGTGAAGCCAAGGGGGACGAGATGGCACCCCACAGGTGAAGTCCCATCACACCATCCAGGAGCCTCTGAGGAACCCCTGGGTTCCACATTTCCCAGCATGAAAACCACTAGAATGGGCCCCACTGGCAACTGAGGCTGGGAGAGGAACTGGAGAGGGGGTGTCCTGGAACAGGCTGACAGCTGGATGGCAGGGTGATGGGGGAGCCCCTGCTCCCCAGCGGGAGCACAGGGGGCTGCGGTGTGAGGATAAGGCAGCTGCCTGGGGCATGGGCAGCAGGGGCAGGGGAGGAGGAGGAGAGGCTGCTGCACCTCAGGTGGGGGGCGGACCCCCCGGAGTTTGCGGGAGCTCAGCACCTGCTCCAGAGGGGGCAAGGTGATGGGGGACGAGAGAAGGCAGATTTCCAGTTGCTGTGGTGACTGGGAGGAAGCGGAGAGGAAGGGCTGGGAGAAAGACACGGGTGCTGGAGACAAAGGCCTCACAGCGAGTCAGCGAGGGGCTGGGGGGCGGGCAGCGCCCAGGGCAGCAGGTGGCCGTTTCCCTGGGGCCGAGTCTGCATTCTGGCTCCCCAGAGCCCGGCCGGCCAGAAAGAGGGGGGACGGGGAGTGGAAGGCGGGCTCTGGCCGAGGCCTTCGGACTCAGGAGTCACAGGGTGTACACACCTACTCTTGCCACGACTTAGGCTGGCTCAGAAAAATTGACAACATGGTTTATGTCCTTTCTATGGGGTTTTTATCGTTAAACCCATCTTTTCTCAAACAGGATCATACCGTATTGCTTTCCAAAGTATTCCGAGATGCTTGCAAGCTTTCCAAGTAGATAAGACGGGGAAGGCTCATCCCAGACTGCTTTTTATTGCCACGTTTCCAGAGGGTGGCAGGGACAGATGCCGGGGCCTTCACCTGCTGGAGGGGGCTGGCTACACAGTCCCCCAGGTGGAGGACTCCAGAAGGTAGCTCCAAGGGACAAAGCACTTGGGGTGGAGAATGCACCCTCAGTTCTGGGCCTGGGTCACCCTCCCAATGGGTCTGGCCAGCCTCTAACTGAAGGGGCAAGTTTGGGGGAGACAATGCTATTCTGGGGTTCAGTGGAAATCCCTAATCACCCCTGGCTCCGCACAGGGGGCAGGGGAACCTGGCCTTGTGTAGGGGGACCCCTGAAGCCACATGACACCCCTGCCGTCCTGCCCTCCCTCCCGAGCCAGCAGCACACGGCACAGCAAGAGCTAATCTCAGTGGGGAGGGTAGGGAGATGGATGGGAAGACTTTGGGGAGCCAGACAGGTCTCAGTCGTTTTGAAACAGACGTTAAATGATAAAAGTGGAAGCTTTTCACCTAGTAAGTAAACTTTGAGATGTCACAAGTGTTTATTTCCTAGAAAGATTTAAAAGTGGCGTCAGGCTTGGGAAGCGAGGGTGATGATGCTCTTGGAGACTCTTCTGGCCACTCGACTCTGATTGTAATGAGCTTCGAGCTCCGGAGCCGTGAGCACGCCTCCAGGGAGCCGCCGCATGGAGGGCACTCCAGGACGGCTGGGGGAGTGCGCCCTGATTTCCAGGCCTGCCCACCTGCCACCCGGCCCCTGGCTGGCCGCCCCGGACCCCTCCTGCGGGCTCTGCCGAGCAGATACCCGAGGGGACCCACCCCGGCTTGTCAGGCTCCTGCCCTGGGAGTCAGGGCCATAGACACCCCCTTCTCATGCGCTCCAGGGTCTAGGCCTGGAGGCACCGAGACGCGGCTGGCAGGGGTGAGCAGCGGGGAGAGCAAGGAGATGAGCAAAGCCCACTGACTTCTGGGGGAGACCGAAGGAAGCGCTGCTGTGTGAACTACAGGGACTGAAAGCCTGGCCGGCGAGGTTCAAACTCGGGGTCCTCCACATGCCAGTGTATTACCTTCCCACACCCCCATTTCCTCATCTGTGAAGTGGGGAGGCCCCAGTGTTCCTTCAGAGTGTTCGCAGGATTGAAGCAAGCTGGTATCTGCAAGCCCTGAGAAAGGCTGAGGGCATGCGGTCAGCACAAAATGAGCGTTTGCTCAATGAGACGAATGCCCGGGAGAAAAGCAGCGAGTCCAGCAGAGCGAGAAGGCGGGAGAGAACACGGGCGGAGGCCCGGGCCGCCCAGAAGCCAAAATGGGGCTCCACGCGCACACCTGGCCTTCAGCAAGCGGGACAGCGCCGCGTGTTCTCAGGAGACCGACTGCCCACGGCCTGGCGTTGCAGGGTAAGGAGGGGGGCACACACCCCATCCAGCGGGGATGACAGACCACGGGGGCAGCAGAACCAGTGATGCCACATTACCCCTCCGCTCCCAACAGCGGGGGAGCCGCCGGGCACTGCCTCTGTGCCCGATGTCTCCAGAGCCCCCGGGCAGGGGCTGCACCTCTGAGGCCATGAGCTAAGGATGGAGGCCGAGCTTGCACACAGCCTCCCCTGACGCCCGGCTGGGCCCACGGGTGCGGGCACAGCTCACGAAGCATCTCAAGCCCATAAGCGACCAGGTATTTTGCATCATCACAAATCTCAAGCCACTCTTCTCTTTCCTCATGCCCCCCGGCCACCCCTATGCAGAGACCCCCATGGAACTCCTGAGCATGCCCCTTGGCCTTCCTCGTGGAGGGCAGAGCTTCCTGCTCCAGACGGTCCAGACTCTGGGGCCTGTCCCCTTCCCCAGTCCTCCCCCCACAGCACGGCTGGGTCTGCACCACTCTGGCCACCCCTGCCTCCCCATCTTTGGGGGTGGTCTCCCCCAGGGCCATCTCCAACTCACCCTCGGGCCCGCACAGGGGACTCTCCCCGCACTGGGCACATCTTCGGTGCCCCACGTCTCCCCATGAGCTGGCAAAGGGGGCTGAGCTGGCATCACGCACATGTCTTAGTCACCCCCATGGGGCGCGGCGCCGCGAGGACCCTGCCCAGGCCCGCCTTACCAGGGTGCGGACGCCGTACTGCTTCTCCACCTTCTCCCGCAGCTGCTTGAAGCAGGCCTCCATGCGCTCGTGGAATGGCCGCAGCGCCTCTGTGACCTTGTCGCCGTGGATCCTGATTCCTTCGGCCAAAAACGGAATCTGAAAAACCAGAGGCGGCGTTGTTCTGAGTTTGTCGGGGAACGGCCTGGCAGAGGCAGCACCAGGCAGGGGGCCCAGCGGTGCCTCTGCTTTGGTTTCCAAATCACAGCTGATTAAACTGATGAGAGGCACGTCACCCCCAAGGCCACACTGTTCAGATCAGCATCGCTCGTGCTGCAGCTTGGACGCTCCCCGCGCAGGGGACAGGACCACCCCGGCCTGCCTGCCTCGCATCTGTCCGCCAATGTCAGGACGGGCGTCCTCGGCTTCCCACTTGCGCCCGGGTGGACCTGCCTAGTGGATTGTTAGCTTGGACTTGAGCTATTAGCAGAGGGTCAAGTCTCAGTGCAAAGATTTTTTTTTAGCTTAGAATATTGCCGTTATAGGCCACCGAGAACCCTATTTCAAAACGCAGAAATCTAATTATACGTGATCAATAGTCCTGAAGGATATTCTTATTTGGAAAGGAAAACCAGATTTATTCTTCCTTGAAACTAAAAATAATCCCTGTCTGCCAAGGCCACCGTCATAAAGCATCAGGCCAGCACACCGCTCTGGGCGTGGAGAGGGAGCTGAACTTTACAGGCCTCACAGAGACATTTTCATTCCCCCGCCCCGAGGACCCCCAGAGTCACCGTTGGGAGGACGTCCGAAGGAGGGGCTTGCAGGGAGGGAGTCCTCTCTGCCCCTGCTCCGCTCCCCAAGCCCCAGCTTGGGTTGGGAGGCGGCCACTCTTCAGTGCAATCAAGCTAAGAGGCGTGCTCTTAATAATTTATAATTAAATCAAAATACTGATTAAAAACAGTTTTTCCTAATATGACAGAACACCAATCTAAGTGAGCAGATTTATTAGTAAGAAGGATAATAAGTTCACAATTGAATTCCATGTGAACAAATTCAAGAATCTTAACAAGATGAATCAAGGCAGAAAACGCCTGGGGTTGCCTTTAGAGCACACGCTGCCGCCTCCCTGGTCCTCCGGGAAGGGCGGGGCATGCGGGGCCCCGGGGTCTGCGGCCCCAGCGGCTCTCAGTGGTACGTGGGCTCTGCTGGCAGCTGGGTCTCTGCCCAAGATGCACCCCAGGTATCCCTCTCCGGCCAGTTCTCACCCAAAGGACACTGCGCAGGTGAGATTCAAACTAGGTGGAATATTTTAAAATTCCACATGCGTTACCAGTGCAGGCGGCAGCGTGCCCCGGGCGAGAGCAGGAAATGCTCACGGTCATCTCCCGCTCCCGACTCCTGCCTCGGGGGATGGCTTTTGGCGGGCAGGCAAATGTGGCTTTCAGGGTGCTAGGACGCTGGGGGCGCCTACTCAGGGCTAAAGCACAGCCGCCCCAGGCCTAAAGCCTCTGTCTGGATGGGGAACGGCCCCTCCCCTGTGCGCCACGTGCACCCCAATTGTGGGCTCTGGGAAACGCTTACTTGGCCAGACTCCCCATCAAAGAAGCTACCTGCGGAGCTGCAGGGAGAATGCCAGGCCCAGGTCACTGTTATGGCCAACGCTGCCATGTGTGGGTGGCACTTACGGGGTGAGAAAATTTATCCCCTCAACAGGCCCCCGCATCGGCCAGACACCACCTCCTCTGGGGTGGGGCCTGGCAACTGTGTCTACTTGGGGCTGAACTGGGGACCAGAGAACGATGCTGTTGGACGACACCCTGACAGAGGAGCCTCCACAGGCTGAGCTTCACGATCTCTCAGGCCGACACCTGAACCCCAGTTTGCATTTGCTTTGCTTCCCCCCAGAGCCCAGAAAAGGGGAAGGACTTCCTCAAAGTCACTCCCGGAGGGGCTCCGGGCCAGCACAGCCTGCTCTCAAAAGAGGCCGTTTCGGCAGCCACGCCATGTGTCCGAAAGGGATTTGGCAGAACATTTGGGAGCCCCGCTGAGGCTCGGGAGCAGCACTGCGGGGGACTCAGGTCACCCCTGTTATCAGCTGGGCAGGAGGAACGTGTCTGGACTTTCACCTTGGTGCATTCCAAAATTGGGAGCGTGTGTGAGCAGCTGCGAGGCTTCATCTGGAAGCTCGGCCGGCTGCGGCATCTGGGGCGCCTGGGAGCCGTGCCGCAGAGGAGCGGAGCGGGCGGGCGCTCGCTGGCGTCCCCGCCAGCTGCAGACCTGGAGGCACCGCACCGCCCGCGCCCGCCCCTGTCCAGCCAGGGCCCAGCACAGACAGGAGCTGCCTGGAGGGGACCCGCGGCTGCAGGGGCCCTGAGGCCCAGACGCGCTGACCGTGTATCAGTCCCGGGGATTCCCGCGAGGAAAACCTTACTTGCCCTAATGAAATTTCAGGAAAAACCAAACCCAACAAGCTAACGAATAGAAGAAAGCACTCGGGCAGCCCCAAACTTCCTATTTTCAATGACCGGATGACTCAATTACAGATACTAAAATATGGGTTTTCAAAACATTTGCAAATGAAAGCAAAATCACAGGAAATGTTTTGAATATGTATTTTTTATCACTCTTTGATTTAATGAAGTTGCTACAAAACAGATTCTTTCAACTTTGCTGTGAGCTGCTTTAAAATTCATCCTTTAATATAGTTATTAGGGGTGATGACATCGTGCTGACATAAAGTTCTCTCTGGGGAACAAATTATTTTCCTCGGTAGGACTGGAAACTCTTAAAATCCAATTTGCTGTAAAAGCTTACAGGAAAAAAAAATCAATAGAACTTTTGCAGACCAAACTAGTTCGTGTGGTGATGGTTTATAGCCATCAGAGGCTTCGAGATTTCGTACCCTTTGGTCTCTCACATGTGAAACGGAAACTTTTGGACCTTTGAAGTCCACCCTCGTCTTAGCAATTGGCAACGGAGCCTGCCCACAGGAGGCTTCAGGATCTCTTATGATGGAGCAGATCCAGGGCAGACCGAGGTCAAGCGTGCTACGCTTATGGCAAAGCCAAGCTCATCAAGGCAACAAACGCAAATCCTGCCTTGGGACGCTGGAAGGACTCGGACTTCGCTGCGTCTGCTGTGCTACTGCTGTTGAGAATGTGACCCAGCGGGCACGGGGGCACACCATGGTGGTCCCTGTACCGATCAAAATCAAAATCTACCATGTGACCCAGCAAGCCCAGTGTGTGCCCCAAAGAAGCGAGGCAGGTAGGCTGAAGCGCCGCGGCCAGACACGCACCTGCCATGCAATTAGGTCCTTGAGCTTCTCGATTTTCTCGTGGGCCTCAGGGTGCTCCTGCAGGTACCGCTCTGTGAAGAAGGCCTGTGGGGACAGGGAGGTGCTCAGGTCATTGGCCGGTCCGCCTCTCTGCACGCCTGTGTGCACCAGGCCCCGGGATAGGGTTGAGCCTGGCCTGGCAGACCTCGCCCACGCAGCCAGAGCTCACTCCCACCTGGGCCGGGGCACCCCCAGCACCCAGGGGAAACACTGCTATGGGGGGAGGGTCAGCCCAGAGGGGCACACAAAGTGGCCCCCATCCTTGGAGCCCAGCAGAGCCACAGCTGACCTGGATGGCTCATCAGCTGGGTGGTAGCTCCCAGGCTGCCTGGCCAGGACCCACTAGCCCTGCCTGGGTCTGCCCAACACTGGAAGGTGCCAGAATGCACCCTCTGTGTCCAGGGCAATTGACATTTGCTGCCTAGCCTGCTCCTGGCTGTGTCCTTTCTGTTCTGTCTAGACCAGAGGTCAGCAGATGTCTTCTGGAAAGGGCCAGATGGTGAGGATTTTAGGTTCAATGGACCATGTAGGTCACAATACCAAGCTCTGCTGGCATCCAGGGAAAACAACCAGAGATACTACACCAATAAAGGGGTGTGGCCAGGTCCCAAAGCTGATTGACAGAAACAGGGCATCCCCAGTCCTTCCACTTCTGGCCATTCCTGTCCACATCTTGGCTGCCATACCAGCTGGCCTACCACCCAGTCTAAGCTGAATCCTCTTGTCTCTCACTGAGACTTTATCCTTGGACCTTTAGTGATCCCAGGTCTCCTGAAAGCCACCCAGGGTCCTCTCCGGAGTGCCATCCGTCCAGTTGGGGAGGACACTGCTTGGGCTTCGCTGACGACACCCAGAGGGCTGTGCCAGGGGCGGGCCTTGCCCTTGGCAGCAGAGGCTGTCTCTGGGCTCCTGGCCTGGCCCTGGATAAACAGAGCGGTGTCAGCCTGCCCCAGGACAGGGCCGCGGCAGGAAGCTGGGTGTGCGTGCCTTTTCGTAATTGGCAAAGCCACCCATGACGGCGGGATCCACGATGCCGTTCAGGAGCATGGACAGGGGGTTGATGGGCAGGCTGGGGTCGCTCAGGTGCTGCTGGACCATGCCACTCATCTTGTCGTTGGTCAGCTGCATGGTCTCAATGGCATTCTCCAGGGGGCTGACCTCCACCTGCGAGGGGCGAGGGAGAGGCGAGGGGTCATGTCAGCACCCGGTGCCCAGATAGCTGCCAGTGGTCAACCCTGTGCCCACAGTGCTGTTCAGAGGCTGTGCTGCGCAGACAGGGTTTGCTGTGGGCAGGCTGCCGAGGGCCCAGTCACACGGGCACACACCCACAACACACGCCCAAGGGCTGCCGGGCCCACGGGCAGCTGTCAGACCCTGCGGTCTGCAGGGTGGCAGCCGGTTAGTGACCCCCGGGCACCAGAGGGGCATGTCATGGGCAATTCCTTCTGGGGGTGTCCTTACCATGAAAACAGACTTGACCTCAAACCACCTTAAAATTCCAGGTAGTTTGTATGCAGTTGTATAGACGGTTCTCTCGATCCACATGTTCTGCAAAGGGAGCACAGGGGCCTGTTAGGAGACGCCGCGGGCTGGTGGGCTGCTTGGGGCAGCTGGTGGTCCACCTCGGGACCACAGCTCTCCAGTCTTGGGGGGGGGGTTGAGGGTGTATTGTTTTTTTTTTACCGCAAATTCGTTGTCTGGATTCTTCTCTCCCTTGCGGATGGGCCGAGAATATTCAAATCGCTGGACCTCATTCACTCTGTAGAAACTGTGCAGAAAGAGAAATCGTGAGACATTTAACCCTCAAAGCAGCCAATTCACTTCCAGACACTGGGTCTGGGCTCATAATCGTCACTTTTTATTTTATAAAATATCCCCAACCTTGACCGGAAGCCAGAGCTCGGCTTTCTCTCCCGCCAGTCCCAGAAGAGAGACCTGGCAGCTGGGCATGGCCTGAGTCTTTGCCTCTCCCTGTCCCGACAAATCCCTCATGGGGGAAGAGGTGCTGAGCACGAACAAAATGGGCCAAAACAGAAAAGGTGACTCGAAGCAGAGAGGAAAAGGCTTGGGCGCTCCAGCTGTGTGTCTAGTAATCGGATGACTAATTTATTAGTTTAATAATTCGACTATTTATTAAGGTAATTTAATGTAATAATTTCACTTTTGTTAATTAAACAATATTATGCCTTTATCATTTTTAGGACGGTCTTGCAGATACATTAGTCCCAAGGCCACAAGAGGCAGCCTGTGGGCCCCAGGAGCAGCTGCACGACAGGACAAGATCCCGCCTCACCCCTGGGGTGGGGGCCTCATGCACAAGACAGAGGCAGGCTGGGGGCCTGACTCACCCCTGCACGGAGGGGCAGGTGGGCCCCCACAGCCACTGGAAATATCTGCACATACACAACCCCTCGCTGCTGGCTCCTGCCTCTCTCTAAGCCGCGTGCTCTACAACCTCATTGTGTGCCTGCGACGCGCTGGTGCATCAGCTCACCTCCCATTACAGCTGATGAAAGGGCAAAGAACCATAGTGAATTTTGCTGAAGAACAAACTTCAGGATACAGAATAAGCAGATCCTGACATTATGAGGCCATCAAAGAGGCTCATTTTTTCCCCCAGAACATGGATCAAATAGAAAAGAAAATGCTTGACATCAAAGACACTTCTAAAGCTGGGCGTTTCTAGACCATCACTAAGTCAAGTGCAATTTAACAGAGAGGCACAAGATCTCACTCAAACTCAGACAGCCGACCCTGAGTTTTAACATCCGCCTCAGAGTGCCAGAGGATGTGATGCTCGTGTCGATGGGGTGAGGGCTCCTTTGCACCCCCATCTTGTTCTCTTGTGCAAATGTCCTAGCTCCAACCGCCGCCTGACCCAATGCAAACACTCAGGTCACTGGCCAGGTGTGCTGACTGGACCCGCCTGGGGACCGGCTTTGAGCAGGAGGAGAAGCCCCACGGGGACTCTCCCAGAGGGGGCTGTCCGGAGACTAGCGTGACCCCCTCCTTCGAGGGCCTGCGTCTCCTGCCCTGGGGAAGGGATGGGCTCAGCACCCTTCTGGCCACACACATTAATATCTCCCTTTGCTGTTTCATGCCCAAAGCACCTGCTCCCTCGCCTTCTGCAGGACAGAGAGCGCCTGGAGCCTAACCCAGGCTGGCTGCGTTCTTTCAAAGGTGGAATCAGCAACGATCCGTGCCACCTCGGGTAATGTCAGGTGAGAAAATGGGGTGGTTACCTTACAATCTGCTCTGACACAGGCCTGTGGAACTTTGGGGGCAAGTCCAGTTTGGGCTTGACCGTGAAGCACTGGATGTCTGCAGGACGGGGGTGAAGGACCCTAACGAGCAGCGAGCAACACCAGCCCCGTGCGTGCCACCCAGCCCTGCCCACGTCCCCCGCCCGTGTCCCCAGCCCTGCCCACGTCCCCAGCCCAGCTTGGTGCGAGGATACACTGGCCCGGGGAGTTCTTGATCTCCTCGCTGGGGGGGGATGTCGTCTTCATTTTCTCGGCGTTTGGAAACTGAGTTAACAGGCGAGCTTCAAAGTCCTCGCGGCGCTCGTACTCCTTGCCCCGGTAGATGAAGACCTTCCCCTGGAGACAGCGAAGTCTGGTAAACAACCGCACGGGGAGGGGCCGGGACGGCGGCACGGGGTCCTGAGCACATGCTGGACACTCAGGGAGCTGCCCCCGGCGGGGGACACTTGACTGGCCAAGGGCACAGGGGCCTAAGACACGGGATCAGGCTGCGGACGTTTAACGCGGCGAATGTGACGTGGTGCGAGCCCAGGGGAGCCGTCCAGCCTCGCAGCGGCCATCCCTTTAACAAAGTAAGACCTTCCACCAGCCGCCGCCAAAGACAGGGCAAGACTTGGGGTGCTCTCCCACGGGCTGGACTTTGTCCACCTCCAGATATGCCTTCGGCACCACCATAGAGTGGGGTGGAGAGGCCCACGGGGCTGTTCCAGACCGGGGCTGGGTGCCCCTGGGGGACGGGGTCCTTCTGACAGGCTGTCTTGTTGAGGTCACTTCTACGGCAGCCACAGGGTCCCTCTAAATACACCTGCATGGAAAGTTCTGATTTCGAGATGAAACAGGTCTTTGTACCTCCCACGTTAGACAAGAGGCCCTGGATCCCTGTCCCCCGCCCCGCAGAGGAACATCTGAACTGAAGGGAAACTGCAGCGTGGAAGAGACGTGAGCAGAGGTTGACCCGGTGCCCAGAAGCGGGGCCGGGGGTGGATCTGCTCCTCACGGGACTGGGTTTCAATCAGGGGGCCCCAAGAAGAGGATCCAGATGGCTGGGGATGAGTCAGGGGCGGCCTGGAATCTGCCATGACCCTGGACAGACGCCAGGGAGGAGAGAGACAGACAGGCAGAGAGCATATTTTCACAATGATCTTCTAGAACCTCAGCTCAAAGTCAAACCAACATTTGTCTAATTAATGAATTTTCAAAATATAAGGAGAGACCCCAGGGTGCTCAACTGATACCCTTCCCAGGCCCAGCTTAATCTGACTTCTCGGGGATCACTAAGGAAGGAACAGCTTAAGAACTGGATACTTTTTTCACTCTTAGGTATGTCTTAAAGTACCCATTATGGAAGAGAAATGTTCTCCTTCTCCAAAAAATTAATGCCAAGCAGAAACCAAGGCATCTAATTAGAAGGGTAAACACGCAGTGTGGGCATCTTTTAAGGCTATAGAAGCTGAACATTTAGAAAGTCAGGAAGATTTAATGTGAGACAGGCTCCGTGAAACCAGCATGCATTTGTTATGCCTTACACCAGAAGAAAGACATAATAATAAAAATGTATATAAAAGCTTTAATAGAAAAACACTAGTGAGTTATAGATGAAAACACCAGCAACATATTCTAGAAATGTCAATTACTTTGCATTCTGAAGGGGGTCCCTTCAAACATGCAAACAAGGGGAAGATATACATAGAGTCTAAGATATTTATTCCTTCTAAGAAACATTAATATTAATAGAAATGCAAAAAAAAAAAAATAAACCCATCCAAAACCAAAACAAAAAACCCCAACAGCCCAAGGACATCAGTTCCCACAGCCAAAGGGGCAGCCGGTCCCAGCGCTGCATGGAACGGAGGGGACAGACCTCAGGCCCCTTCTCTGCGGCTGCTAACGTCCCTGTTGGATGGAGCCCAGGAGGGGGCGTGTGAAGTGGAAGGAATACGTGGCTGCGACACAGAGTTATTTAGGTGTGGCAGGAAAGTCAGCTCAAGGTGAATCAAGACTGTTAAACTCTTCCTCCTTTGCCTTTATTTTGTCCTTTTGATGCCCAGGGCCACCCCCAGAGCTGCCTCTGCCTCACGGGTGCTTCAGAAGGCCAGGCAAGCTCCCAGCTGTCCGCAGAGGGCTGCGGACACACACACGGTGACTCCCAGTCCGGCCTGGCCGGCGGGGTGGAGGGGCGAGCCCCTGGCTCTCTGTGACACAGACAGAGCCAATGAGGCCTTCAGCCACAGCCAGCATCAGCCCCAGGCTCATCCTGCCTCTTTGTTTTTTATTTGAGGTAGCTAATTTTGGGCCTCCCTGGAGGCCTAGGGGTTAGGTCTCAGCACACTCACCGCTGCAGCACGAGTTCAATCCCGGCCAGGGAGCTACCCACAGGCGCAGTGGACCTCTCCTGTCCCCCCGCTGCTCCCCTCAGCAGTGTGTTTCAGTCAGTCTGCCTGTTCTGTTCCCCACTCTGTCTCTGGTGAGTCCTCTCACCCCCCCACACCTCTGGCCTGTTCCCCAGTTCTTCTATGCATAAATAAATCTTCAAAAAATAATAGAGTCGCTAATTTCAAAATCCCCCCATTGGCCTTATCACCCAATATCTTTTCTTCATTCTCTGGAGGAAGAGGCTTCCCCAGGGTCTGGCTACGGTCAGCTACTGTCTGAGCCACGTCCAGCTCACCATGGAGGACCGGCAGGGACAGATGCCCCGGTCACCTGGGAGGACCACAAGTGTCACCACCTTGGTGACTGGACAGACCAGCCCCTCTGGGCCCCCGTGTGAAGGACAGGTCTCGCGGGGCCCCGCCCACTGCACCTGCACGGAGGGGGTCCTTCCCACCAGGGCTGCCAGGGGCCAGAAACCCCGGGCCGGAGGACCACACTCCTGGGAGGGCCTCCCACCTGCATGCCACGGCCAGAAGCTGCGCCCAGCGATGCCTCTGCTTCCCTAAACCGGGGGAGCACATTCAAAACACAAAGCCAGAGGCCACGAGAAGGGGCGCAAGAAATGACAGGAAATCGGGACCCGCTGGCCCACGGCATCCAGGGGTGAGTTTTGAGACAATCTTGCTTGCAGGGGGGCAGCCTCCTTTACAGTTCCTCTCCTGCCTCCTGACCTAGAAGTGGGTTTGGCCGACTGGCCTTTCTTCCATCGTGCCAGACACACACGCCTGCCTCAGGGAGCGGTGACCCTCTCCACGCATGGCCATGAAATACACTTCCCATGTCTCGCACCATGAAAACATGTGCTGTCAGACGCTCACACCACGCCGGGCAGCCCAGATGCCGTCTCGGCGCACAGCAAGTGGAGCACGTGGGCTGTGCCTGCAGGGGCCGCACCTGAGCCTTCCTGGGAGCCGCGCTCTGGCACCTGCACGTGGCTGCACCACGAGGCCACAAAGAGACAAATCCCGAAAGACCCACTCACAGGAGACCTAGAACAGACGCCCACGGTGACGGGTGGGGGGGGGCGTGTCACTAGGGGCCTGCTGCTGGATGGGGACAGAGCTTCGGTATGGGAGGAAGAAAGTTCTGGAAGGTGGGGAGGGCCGCACAGCTAAGCGAAGGTGCCTGCTGCCACAGCTGGGTGTGGCTGAGCGAGGAAGTCATGGCAGCTACGTGCCGGGACAACCCTAATAGTGCACGGAAGGCTCAGAAGCAGAGTTCTGTTTAGGAAAAGTCAGGTAAAAAGTTCTACGTGCTCGAGGCAGATCAGCAGCCCCTGTTGGGCCAGGACACCCCGGGCAGGACGCAGCCCCCTGCGGAGCCTTGTCCCTCCCTGGACCCAGGGCCCGCCGGGGGCAGCCGGCTCAGGCCAGCAGCGCACTTTACCCGCAGGAACGAGGGGAACGCTTGTCCGTAGTAGCCGACGGCGAAGTAGTCGGGCTTGGGTCTGATCACCTTGACGATGTTTTCATAAAACTGAGCCTGTTTTTTCTGCAAGGAAGAAAGAAAATGCACGTCAGGTGAGTCGAGTATCTCGTGTCCTTCCGGATTCTCCCGGGGCCCCCTGCGGTCTCGGGGGCGACGGGTGGCGGGGGGGCTCGTGGAGCGCACGGGCACCAGCTTCATCTCTGCACAGCGCAGACGGCGCCGCCCCGTCCTCCATCACCCAGCAGGTGTCTGGCCACAGAGTCAAATCCAGCCCCCGGCTGCGATGTATAGGGGTTCCCAATAACCGAGGAGGTGTTTCTGATTAAGTGACTTTCCTGAGTATTTTTAAAACATTGGAAGGGCCCAGACACTGGGATTCTGTCAAGAAGAGGAGAAAGGCAGGATCTGCTCTAAGTTGGCGATGCGCTTCCTACGGCCCATCAACCCGCTACCCACAGAAAGGACAAAAAAAGAGGCTGAGGTGCAGCGGCCAGAGCCTGGAGGCTGGAGGAAAGTGTGGGTCACTCCACCCGCCCCCCGGGGCTGGGGTTCCAGTCTCCATTGGCGGAGACTAGACTGGGGTGAGGCTGCCGTGCACATCACCCACCTTCAGACGTTGGTTATGAAATTCCCTTCGATCCAGTCACCCCACTTTGAGTGTTTGCCTGAAACACTGAAATACACCAGCGGGAAGAGAGAGCCGCTCCCGTGATGCCCCCTGCAGTGGCCCAGCGTGGAAAGTAGCCCACGCGCCCACAGACGGGCGAGCAGGTGCAGGTGTGGAGACTGTGCCCAGGGCGCCCCACAGGCGCGGAGCTGAGAGAGGGTGAAGGCTCTACACGGCAACGGGGCGGCCCCCGAGGGGATGGCACCGAGTGACATAACTGGACGGCAAAAGACAAGCACCCTGACCTCGTGGCGCGTGGAGTGTGCTGAAAACCCGACTCAGACTCTAAGACCAACGAGTCGTGACGAGAAGGGGGGGCAAAGAGCTGGGTAGGAGACAGTGGTGCCCCCTTGGGCCTCCGCGTAGCCCGGATGCTGGTGGGTTCTCAGCCTGAGCGCCCGCCCGACAGTGTCACGGGCCGTGCGGCTTCACAAGTGTCCGGAGCAGAAAAGAGACAGTTGACAGAAGGATTGCAGATGAACGGGACACCCCGGGCCACTGACGGAAAGAATGAAAATCGTGAAACCTTTCACAAGAACTACGGCACCGGGCAGGCGGCGGCCAGGCCCGGGGGTGCCCGTCCGGGCAGCGGGACACGTACCAGCAGTTCGCTGAGCTGCTCGTAGTCGAACATCTCGTTCTCGTACTGCTCGGCCAGCTCCTTGCCCAGCGCGATGGCCTCCTCCCACATCTGCGAGGGGGGGAGAAGCCAGAGGTCACGCGGCCGCTCGAGATCCAGGCGTGGACAGGTGCTCGCCGTGTCGGAAACACCCCGGGATGCGTCAGCACACACACGAGGGACTCCCGGGGGTGCGTGTCCCCCGGTCCAGGCCGACGACAGCCGAGCAGACTGGCCAGCTGTGGGCCCACGGCTCAGGCGGGCGGGCCGGGTGCGGCCCATCTGGGGGGCGGCTCAGGGACGTGGCAGGAGCCACTGCTGACGGGGGCACTGTGGGGACCTGTGCGGTGGGTGCTCTGCCTCTTCCTCACGCAGCCGTGCGTCGCAGATGCATGTACCGATGCCCCGGGTGCCGCCCTCCCCCGCCTGCCAGCCTTTGCCTTGGCTTAGTAGCCAGACCCAGGAGCCCTCACTCACTGCCAAACCCCTCTCCAGAGCTGCGACTTAAAGAAACCATTTATTTCTGCTGAGGAAAGAGCTATTCTGGCCTGAGGGTTGCATTTTAATACTTGAAAGGCAAAATACACATAAGCCTGGAGTAGAGAGATTCTGGAGACAGGACGGGGCCTGGGGAGAAGCTGGTGGCAACGGCCCTGGATGTCCAGCAATCTCCCCGCTCAGCCCCGCTCCGTCGTCCTGTGGAGCCTTCAAAGCTGCCTCGCCTCCTCGAGTGTCTTCATCTGAGCCCCAGCCCGTCCCCCTCTGTGCCAGGACCCAAGCTGGCACTTCCAGGAAGGGGCTTGTTGCTCCTTTCATGTTCTTTCAGCTCCAGCCACCGACCCCTCCTCCCTCAGCGTATTTCCATTTCAAAGACAACATCACCTGGGCCGGGGGGTTCCCGCTCACCGGATTGTTCTTTCCTTCCTGGCTTGCAAGCGGATCGCACTACCTTAGCCGCCTAGGAAGGTAAGGCTTCCAACTCGTCGCTGAGTAGAAGCTTAATCTGTTCTTAGCCTTAGTGACAGATGAGATGCTCTAGATACACATCGCAGGTAACTGTTTTTAAAAGAAATGTAAGTCTGGAATAGATTCCCTACCCTTCTCACCACAGGGTCACCGGGCTGTTTTCCATCAGATTTTATATAAATACACATTCCTCTTCCCCCAGCAAGTTTAGAAGGATCTGCATTAAGGGGATTTAATTGGACGGCCCCCAGAGCGTGGGCGAGTCACGTTTCCAGTGGGAACACCTGAGAACATGGCTCGGAGCCAGAGAGAGAACAAGCGATGTGGGCGTGGGGATGACTTTAGCCTGTGGGGCGAGCCCCGGGGGTCTGCTCCGGGCTGGGGATCTGCTTCGGCACTAAAGGAGACGTACCCCCTCTCCCCCGCCAAGGCACCGCTTTATTTTCGGGTCTGAAAACCTTAACCCACAGTCTGGATTCTCAAAGTCATCGATCAAGCCGCAGTCAGAGCACACCCGCCACCCCCTCCTCATGGGCACTGGGAGAGAAACCTGCCCTCCCAATGTCTCTGGCAAAAGGTGAATTCCACGGGAGGGGTGTGAGGGCTGGGTGGAGGCTGCTTGTGAAAAAGATATTTATAAACACATCTCTCTGTCAGGGCGTGTGCCGGGAGCACCTGCTTCTCTCTTCCTTGGAGAAGGGGCGCTCCGTCTGCACACCTGTCTGCTGTGCCCCAGCAGCCTCCCTACCTGGCCTTCCCGCAGGCCTGAGGCCTGCAGTCTCGGCTCAGTATTTAAGGTGGTATCCCAGCCAGGGCCAGCGCCCAGCACGCCCGGTCTCCTGGCTGCAGGGAGCACACACGCGATTATTCTACTTCTTTTGGCCTTTTCCCGTGCTAGTCTTTTTGACATTTGTTCCTCTGCCGCCTGGAGGAAGCCCCAGGGAGAGGGGAACTCCCTTTGCCCCGACAGTCAGATGACCTCGGCTCCATTCTGCTACAGTGATCCTCACGCCGAACCTTCTGGTTTCAGGAAGTTCCATGTCTTCAAGTTTCTTGAATTTTTTTTTTCTGGTAGAATTCCTTGCGTGGTCCCCAGATGAAAGTGGGTGCAGACAGCCTATCAGTGATCGATTTCCTGCAGAAAACTCTCAGGTCAGCACTGGCTTGTCTGATGGGAGGGCGGCACAGACCTCACAGGAGGTGGTGCAGGCAGGTGGGAGAAGTGGCGCCAGGAGAAACATCCCTGCCCAACAACTCGGGCTGGCCAGGCCCCTCGAAAGAGCCGTGCGGAACTCCGTGCAACTAGCATGCTGCCTGTAAGCAGCTCACCTCTGAGGACGTTTTATGGGATGGTTGAATCTCAGTCCTTCTACCATTCATCTGTTTTTCCAGAAAAGAGTCACAGTCAATTACCCTCTGAATTTCCAGTGTCTCACAGCCTCCGAGGTTTAAGGAGATGGAAATCCAGCAGAACGGAAGATTCTGGAGCTCTGGAGGAGGCAGCCAGTGTCTCCCACTTCTCTTCCAGCTTTGCCCAGTGAGGACGTGGACACTCACCCAGCTCTGGTGGGCATCTGAGCCACACTGGTGCCCCAGTTCCTCCCAGCACTCGCTGTTCTGCCCTGACCCATTTAAGAGTCTGTGATCAGCTAGCTCTGTGTCTCCCGGGATGTCACCTTCTATCTGGTCTCCAGACCCTGCCCCTGGGCATGCCACCTCGTAGCCAGGATGAGCTTCTGGGGAGAAAATGAACTCATCATGAGCAATTTCCAAAAAACCTCACTGGCTCTTTTTCTCTGATGGAGTGATAGTCAAACCATCAGGGACCCACAGGCCACGGAAGAGATGGTCTCTAAGGCGTCTCCATCTGAAGCTTCCAGGACCCCTGCCCTTGCTCCCACAGAAAGATTTCTCAGCTTCCCCAGAAAAGTGAGGTATTTTGAGAGCCCTTTCTCTACCTGTGCTAGACAGAAGTCTCTGGAATGTCTGCTCTTCCCAGACATCACCTGGCAAACTTGACTTAAGTTTATATGTCACATCCTCCATGAAGGCCTCTCTACCTCTCTCCCTCTCTCCCCAGAAGTAGCCACCAGGTAGGTACACCCATTTCCCACCTGTGTGCCAGTGGGAGGGTTTTGCTGTGCACCTGCTAGTAGGCAGCCTCAGATCCTTCACCCCTTAATTCATGGGTGCCGGGTGCTTGTTAGTAGAAAACCTTGTTTTCCACAGAGTGGGGGAATGTCATCACTGGCTCTAAAAATGGGTTCTCTCAGGCTTTGATGACAAATGTCTCTTTGAAGGTAGGAGCAAGGTGCAATTAACCTCTGATCTCTGCAGGCTCAGGCCAACCCTGTCTAATGAGCAGACGCTGACGAAAATAGCAGGATCTTCAAAAATGATGGAAATGCTGAGAATAAGCCAAGAATGGGGCTCGTGATGCTTGTACCTGCAGTTCCTCTTGATAGCAACTGTATTTTTAAAGGGAAACTCATAGGACGAGAAAATTTCACCCCAAATACTGAGCAAAGAAATCCAACCATTTCACCAAAAACAGAAACTTGCTCCCAAACCCCTATTTTTAGTTCTCCAGATGATGCAAAAGGCTTCATTTTCTGACTTGGGCGCAAGGCAAAGTGTGAACTTTGTCAGGAAGGGCTATTTTAAGGGACAAGCAGCCAGAGCTTGGGGTGCAGGCCGTCCCGAGCCTCCTCCTCCATGGGGGGCTCCACCCAGCTCTGCACCCTGGGCCTCCAGGCCGGGCTGCTCCTGGACCCGGAGACGGTCATCCTCGGTCAGTGCCGACTCCCCCGCTCCAGCCAAGTTCGCTGGGAGCTGGGCGTCTACTTTCTCGTCCTCCAGAGAGAAGCCTGGTGATTTTCAGCGAAGCACTTGCATTACAGGCTTTATTGAAAATTACTAAGGACTCAACCAAATACAATAAGCCGGCAATTCAAGCTCCTTCAGGAAAGAAGGCCTGTCTGCCATGATAAAGGCCCACAGAAGCGCTTTCGGGGAGGGGGGCACTCATAATGAGCGGGAGAAGCAGAATGGAAGAGGAGCAAGCAGTAATTATTAGCCCAGGAAGGGAGAACTTAAGAGAATGTAAAAGGAAGCAGATGGAAGCCATGTTTTATGGGGAGAAAGAAAAAGATAAAAGGCCAAGAGCTGGGCTGAAAGACATTCAAAACTTTTTAAAATGGAAAGCAAAAATAGAAGGATGATTTTGTGCAGGAGAAATACAGAGAGATAACAGGGCATAATTCAAAAGCCGCAGCGTCCAATATAAAGGAGCAGAGAATCCATTCAGCCGCGCTGCTTCCAGAGCACAAAGGTAGGGCAACCTGAATATTATCCCGCCCGCTCCGTGGCCAGCACCCCAGCTCTCTCCGCAGCTCAGGGAGACGACGAGGGGCCGAGAGGCGTCCCTGTCTGGGCGAGGGGCCCCCCGAGAGCTGCACAGGTTGCTACTCAGAGATGCAGGACTAACCTCCAGGCCCAGGGATCCAGACTCTGCGCCACGAGACCCACGGGAGCCTGGGGTCGGGGTCGGGAAAGGCAGAGAGGCTGAGACGGAGTGGCGACCCAGGATGCGTACAGACATCCCAAGGCCAGGACCCAGAGAGCCTGGGGAGAGCGCCGGTGGGCACCGGCTACTGAAGGGGTCACCTGTCCAGATTTCCCCTCAGAAGAGGTGCCCTGAGGCTTGGGCACCTTGAAAGTAATTCACGCTGATAGCACAGCCGCCAGGTTGGAACCCAGAGCAATGCTGGGGAGCAGGAGAGCAGGGATGGAGTGGGGCTCCTGGGGGTGGGGGGTGGGTGATGCCTCTCAGACTGGGGGCTTGGAGACTGGCAGCTCAGGAGGCCTGAAGTGCTGCTCTTAGCTGCAGGCCTCCTGCCCAGAGACCCCAAGGGCTCAGCAGCACCTCAAGGAGAAGGGCCGGCCCCTCGCCACCGCAGGGCTGCTGCCTGCAGCTCTCACTCTCGAGGCACTTGGAGCAACAAATCACATTGAGAAAACAGGACTCAGCCCAGAGCTGGGCAACGAGTAATGAGCTTAGGATGGCGTTTGACAAAGCACAAAGGAAAATACGACCAAGGGGCATAACTCTGGATTTCAGTAGTAACCCAGGCCGACAGGAGAGACGCCATCTTGTTCCCACAAAGAGGTGCCGCTTCCTAATTTCTTAGGGTTTCTCTTCAGAGCTGTTGGCTGACTTCTACCCTCCCTTCCTGACCACGTGCCTTGTCTGGGCTCCCTTCTCGGAATCCTGGGGTCACAGAGCAGCCCCTCCCTGGCTCGCCCCTCCAGACGCCGTGGGATTTCAGAAGGTTGAAGCTCAAGCTTGTTCCGTCCCTCTTGACTGTACAGAAGATGGATAATTACTTCCGGCTGGTATTTTCCCAGGAAATTTAATGCCAGTTGATAAAAGATCTTTTTGCCTCAGCGAATCACCCAAGTACTTCAGATTTCATCTGATCAGATCTTCTCCCTCACCTGCACCCTGTCTCGCTTTAGCTTTAGATGGGAGCGGGCGGCGTTTCTTTTCACCATTCTGCTCTCCGTTATCCAAGTCTAACAGCCACTGTGAGGACTGTCCCCCTAAATTTCGAAGAACAGGCAAGACTCCTTTAGACCCCCAGGGCAGCCAACCCATCACTCTCCAGGGTCAGCTCTGTCTCCCCCAGAAGACAGAGCCTGAGGGCACTGCCCCAGTCCACTTTTCCTGCCCGCTGCAGGCTGCCGAGTGGTGTCCCTGGCCTCACCCAGACGATGCCCACACCCTCGAGGCACGTCATGACAAGCGCGAAGGGCTCCTGTGGGTCCTGGCTGAGAACCCCAAGCTCAGCACATTCTTTTTCCTCTCAGAGGACACCTTTGCTTAAAAAAAACCGACTTTGCCCTTCAACTTATTATTTACTGAAGGTCAATTGTCTTGCTCTCCACGAGCGTGTCTCATCTTGCAGGAATCACTCTCGAGAGCTGAGCCTCCATTCACCCGTCTGTCTTCCACCCAGCCATCTTCCATCCTCAGCCATCCATCTCCCCATGCATACATCCTCCATCCACCCATCCAGCCTCCATCCAGCCAGTTGTTCCTTCGTTCAACGCGTGCCCGCTGTGTGGTAGACCAGGCACAGCTCTGAGACTAGGTCTCCTGTGGGCTAGACACGTGGCCTGTCTCCCGGACCCCGCATGCAGCCTGCCGGGGGCTCGCGCAGGAAACAGACACGCAAACCTGTGGCTGCATGCAGGCAGCGCCGTAAAGGAAGAGGAGTGGCACTGAGGGCTCATGTGAGCAGAGGGGGCTGGCAGGAGCCGACCCAGGCAGGCGCAGCAGAGCCCACCAGGCAGATGCGGGAAGGCTGGTGCGATTTTGGACCCAAGAGGGGAGGGGTGGCCTGAACACAGAGCCCAAGGCAGGAAACGGGGTGTCATGTGGAGGGGGAACCTGAGGGTTGGCCTCCTGTTGTCACCGGAGAGCAGCAAAGGCCCCTGGTGCCCAGTCCTTCAGGGCCTCCTGCACTGCCCTGCTCGCTGGCACCTGACGCCCTGCGCCAGCATGTGGCTGGGTCAGGAGGGCAGCAGGGAAGAAATGGCCGAATCAGCTCATTTCTTTAGTAGTTTCTGACAAACAGGATTCCCCTGGCTCAGTTACTAACATTTTAGTGATTGGCCTTAATTGTGAAAGCTTCTCGTTTCTATGAAGAAATACATTCAGGTCTACTATGGGGCTGGGTGAGACCCACAGAACATTCTTGACCCTCATTTCCGTGTGGCCTCAGCCTAGCCAGGTGCTGTTCTGAACGCTGCCATCTCCAGCAGCTCTTTTTTCCGACAGGGCAGCTGTCATCCTTCCCAGGATGGGTGCTGTTTGGGGTGCAGCTGTACCCTCTACGAGGGATGTTGAAGCCCTGAGCCCTGGCTCCAGTAAATAGCCCTGGACCCTATTTGGAAATTGGGTTTGGGGTGCAACAGTGTGCTACTGGCCTGAGCGGCCTGACATCCAGAGGGAAATCTGGACGCAGAGACACACTGGTCAGGAGTTGATGGGGGCAGGGCTGGGGTGGCGCAGCTGGGGAGCCGGGTGGATTCACCCTGCGCTGAGGCCAGAGGGCAGGAGGGGGGGGGTCTTTGTCAGAACAGTTGCCCCCCTGGGAGCACCACGTCACTTCCCCAAGTGACAAGCAAGCCGCCCACAGAGCTGAACTCGCTGAGTGTCGTTCTCAAAACTTGCAGAAGCTGCAGCTGCTCACTCGAGACAGTAACAGTCAGTGCTTGGCCCAGCAAGTGGACCAGGTGTGACCTGTGGTCCTGCCGGCGAGAGCAAGGGCAGCTTCCACCAGTCGGAGTCCCAGGGAGAAATTCTGTCTGAAGCCACCACCTAGAAGCTGCAGAGAGGGGGTGCTGCTTGCCCTGCCCTAGGTCTCATGACAGCAGGGAAACGGCAACCCTCAAAGGAACAGGTGGCCAGAAGCCCCTCCAGCCAGCGTCCAGCCTGGCCCTCTCCGGCAGGGACCTGACTGTCTCCCGGGTCAGCCTTTCCTTTCCGGCTGGCTTCTCTAAGGGTGACCAATTCCTCTTTTAAGATGTCTGCCTAGATGCGGCCTCTGAGGACTAAGCCTCAGACCTCCACTGTGCGCCTGACTGCGCCCAGGCCCCGCTGATACCGCGTGTCCACAGACGGTGCCCACACCGAGCGAGGCGCCCAGGGAAACAGTAGACAGCGCGTTGTCTCACCTTGCCTTTGTCGAAGTAGTGGATGATTTCTTGGTAGAGCTGTTCCTTCAGCTGCCCCTGCGTGGGGGCCTGGTACCCGTCCCGCTGCGTGAGGTTGGCCACGCACACGTCCTCCGACCACTGAGGAGAGAGCACAGCGGGTGAGGGCTTGCCCGGGCTGGCCTCTCCTCTCCAGGGAGATGCCGGTTCTGGGGCCTGGGGCTGCTGTTCCCAGGCCGCCGGGGTCCAGGAACGAGGGCAGAAACCTGTGCCTGGGCCCAAAGGGAGGCAAAGTTGGGTCTAAGGAGTGGACCCAGAGGTTCTGGAAGGCTGATGAGGCCCCATGCAGGAGGAGCTAGGGTCCAGTGACCTTTGGCGCCTGCGGGAGCCCCCTGTCCCGTGCTGCTCTACACGTTAACCAACAGCAAGGAAGGCACGTGGATGTCACCTGCCAGCGACAAGAGAGGGACCCGCTAGGCCATCAGGCTCCTCACACGCGTGTAGGTGTCTTGGGGCCTTCAGGCCGGGCACAGCTCGCGGCAGACGCCGGGCTGGGTAGCATCTGTGTGCGTGTGGGATGAAGGAGAAGGATGCACAGGGGTCTCGGCAAGTCAGGGGACCCCCAAGTGGAGGTGAGCTCCCTCGACAGCCCCCCTGAATCAAGCTGGTAGTCAGCGCCCCTGACACAGGGCTCAGCGCCACCAGCATCTGGTGAGAACCGGCTGTGGAATCCTGGCACAGGCCACAGGTGCGGCGGAGGAAGCCTGATGCAGGACGGCGCCTCTGCACAGCGCCGCAGAGAAGCGCCGCAGAGACACTCCCAGGCCATTCGGGGGGCAAGGCCACGTACAGGGTGGGGGTCTGAGGCTCCGTGGAGGAAATGGGCTTGTGTGGCCCAGGAGCTGAAGAAGGGCCCTGTTTTAAGGTAGGACACTGGGGGCGCTGCAAAGACAGTAACAGACTCCAGGCTGCCCGGACCGCAGTGGGGGGCAGTGCCCCCTGCGCTGAGATGCAGAGAGAGGGGTAGCATGTACCCCATTCCCAGGAAAGCCAGGGTCCCGGGGGACGTTAATGTCAGTGCAGGGAGTGGACAGGCCCTCGTGCGCTGAGCACCGTCTGCACTCAGTGCAGCGGCCACGCAGACGCTCTGTACACAGCATGTGTGTCTGCGAGTCTCTATCTGTGTCTATTTTACATTCACACGCATGAGCTAACGCCGCGCACGACGGGAGACGGATGGTTCAAGGGAGCAGTTTGTCAGCCCCATTTTAATTTCCCGTGAGTTAAAGAAATATCTTCATATTTGCAAAAGCTCCTTGTTACTGGAATTTGGGTTTCGAACAAATGAAGGCCACGAGGATTTATGGGGGGATGGCTGGCGTCAGATGCACCAACTGAAACCTCCGTTCTCATAAATCACGGTCCTGAGCGCTTTATCCACGTGTGCGGGCCAGCGGGAGGGGTGACGACCGATACGGCACCCAGGCTGAGCGGAGCCTCCTCGTATTTTGCTTCTAACGGACCATTTGATACTTAGAAAAGGTAAATCTCGACTCCTGAATGTCTCCGGCGTAGTCTGGATATATTTGTGTGACAGATGTCACTGCAGATGTCAGGATGGAGCCACTGTCTGGGAGGTTCTGGCCAGAGCCGCAACCCTAGCCCAGTGTCCCCCCACTGCAGTCACCGGCCAGCGGGCTCGCTCAGTGTCCATTTTTAGCCCAATCGCATCGGGTTTCCCTCACTCCATCTCTGGTGTTTTGGGGACGGGTCTGAGCTGGGAAACAGGATTCCATGAATGAGCAGACTTTCTGCCCAGTAGGCCAATTAGATTCGAACTTGCATATTCTTGTTGATCCAGCTCAAACTTTCCCCATTTTTTTTTTATTTTTATTTTTGTGGGACCCTCGCCGGTGGCCGGGGAACGAACCGGCGCTGCAGAGGCTGCGGGCAGCCTCACAGCCCAGCGCTCAACTGCTGCGCCACCAGGGGAGGCCCAAACTTCCCCCATTTTTAATAAGATATCATGGGAAAGATAATCTAATGACTTGCTTAAGTTCTAAAACATAAAAGTGGACATTTTGTGGCCTCCATCTAACTACCCACCCACTGACCCATCCCCGACATTTGCATCTATCCACCCTCCTACCCCCAATTCCCTAACCACACACATACCCACCTAACACCCCCATTCACCCACCCAATTACTAACCCACCTACCCAACTACCCACCCACCCACCATCCACCCACTGAGTCTACTCTGCATGACTAACTGCAGGAGCTGGACATGGGAGAGCAAGAATCTGACACCACAAGCAAACAAACAAAAATGCCAAAGCCAACTACACAACAAAAGAGCCTGAGGTTGTTGTCCCAACTGACCTGTGCCCAGGGGTACTGGGCAGGGGAGCTGTGCCCAGGAGGACCGGGCGGGGGGTTGACATGACCTGGTAGATTAACAGGGCTACTCAGGGGACGTTACAGAGGAAAAAGTCCTGTTCTGGCTGCCATCCTCTGGGAAGATAATGTCTCATCCTATCTCACAGCTGCTCTACCACAGAGATCCTTCCATTGCCAGTACTTCCCACCGTCACTGAGTCCTGTTGGCGTCAATAAGGAACAGCCATCAGCCCGCTGGTGGCTGACAACTCAATGGTAGGTGTTTACGATGCTGAGCGATAATTTGCTGTGGCATTTTTGCATTTAGTAGGATTGAATCTAAGTATCTTTGTTTATATCATGACATTTAGTTAATATCCATAAAATCTTAAGTTATGGGTTTACTAACATTTATCATGGAAAAATAAGACTTTAAATATTCTTAGAATTTGTAATGACAGAATCATAAAAGTGCGTGGTAATTTTTATTACCTTCAGAAGCTTTGCATGGAGAAGTAGGGTGTAGGCTGCTTCCGTGTAGTTATCACACTCCTTGTGGAGGTCACACAGCTTGTACAAATACCTGAGACGGAGAAACAGCAGCCTTCATGAAATGTCACCAAATAATTTGAGTTGAGACCTGCAAAAGCTAAAGTCTACCTTCCACAATAAATCATCTCTGTACTTTCTTCTTACAATGCTCACAATTCATGCCTTGAAAACTTTCGGTGCAGAAAACACTGAGAAAAACCAGCCAGGATGATATACACTTGTATTTAAAAAAAAAAACATTAAGTTTGCTTTTTTCAGGCAGAGAATGAGGATGGCACAAGAAGGTAGAATCGTATTTCAGGTTTTCTCTTCTCTTCTCCAGCTTTGCTCATACATGTGAAATGAGATGACAGTGTCTGATGGAGATCGCCTCATCCCCATGGAAGCCAAATGCACTCCAAAAAAACCCCTCACACACAAATCCGTAGAATAAAAAGCCCCAAGGATCACAGGGATTGTCATCGAAAGGACATCTCTGCCATAAGGAAAGGTTATTTTTTAAAATAAAGCAGCCCATATTTTAGACAAAAGAAGCTATTGTTTCCCCCAGTTACTTAAATTCATAGGGTATATTTTTTAAAGGAGAAAATGAAGCTATTTTGGAAGTCACGAGTTAGGAAATCCTGCTGGTAGTAACTGCCCAGCAGTAACTTGCTAAATATTTGACACTGGGCCAAGACGTGACGAGGAGAGGGGCCAGCCACTGCCCATCTCTCTGGAAAAAGAGCAAGTGGGAGAGAAAACCCCAGCGGGCAGCACGGCACGGGGATGGCATCAGCAGGGATGAACAGACAGCGCCGACGTCGCCAGCTCCCCATACGGCCAAAGCTAAATTCTCCCTTGATCGCGTGGCTGCTGTGACCCATGAAACTCCCCAGCGCTGCCTCTTTTCCAAAGGGCCTCACGCGTCGGCCAGGAGGCGTGAAGCCTGTGTGGCAGTCACTGCGGTAATAACCACTTTGCCCGAGCCGGCTAAGTGGGCGCGACTGGCAGGGACTGGGCCAGGGTGAAGGCCCCCGGGGAGCGCCGGGAGCTCAGCTCTGGCTCCTGCAGCATCAGCCCGGGGGACAGAGCACGCCCCGCAAGGGTGGAGGCTGGGGCGGTAACGGGGATGCGGAGGGACCCCTACGTACCTTAGGTACATCTCTTCTCTCTCAATTTCTTTGTAGAAATTCTGAAAAACCAAGTGACAACACTGATTGAAGAAAGCGGTTCTGAAAAGGTGTCGCGTGCACATTAAAAGCTCACAGTTCTTAAAGAGCAGGAAGGAAATCAAATCAAATCAAAACAAACCCTTGGACCTGACATCAGAATGGTGGGGGTGAGGGGTGGTGAGGCACGGCCTGCAGGGCATGGGGACATGGGGGTGGGGGACACAAGGGTAGGGGACATGGGGGGCTTGGGGATATGGGGGCACAGGAACTTGGGCGCCCGGGGAAAGGGGGCATGGTGTGACACATACAACTGCTGGGGGAGAAATGCACCCCTGAACCTGCAGAGGGGTGATCCCCTGCACCTCACCGCTAGGAACAGTGGCTCAATGTAGCTGAACTTGCATCAAACTCAGCCAAGTGGGCCCAATTCCTTGGGTCAGAACCACAAATTCACACAGAGTGCAAAATCCCCTGTGGCGTCTCCTACACAATGTCGCCCTGTCCTGTCCCCAGGGCCCATCTGCAGACATGTGGCTGCCCAGAGTTGTGGGGGGACCATCGCACCTTGCTGGAGGGGGAAGGGCCACCCTGGGGCCTGGGCGGTGCCGTCCCCTGCTGGGCTCAGCCGTGGCAGGAGGCCCGGGAGGCGCCAGACCAGCAGACCAGAGGTGACGCCGCAGCACACAGATGGGACGTAGGCAGAGCCAGAGGCCCCCGCTGCGGCCAGCGCATGTATCAGACGTGGGGGTGGGGCTGAACGCAGCATTCCTAGGGTGTGGCCACCCCAAGGTCACCTTCAAGGTGACACCTGGCACCTGACCAGGACACCCAGAGCCAGCGCCACCGGGCGCCCGAGGCATCATAACGGCGACGATTGATTACCAGTGAGGTGAAGCAGGATGTTCCATTTCATTAGCAAAAGGAGGCGTTGCTTCCAGAATTGATCTCTCTGAAGTGAATTGACATATGGGCAGAGGAAATAAGACGCAGCAAGATTTTCAGGTTCCGCGGCATCTGGGGATCCGACGTCCTCGACACGCCACGGCCACGTCACGGGGTATTTTCAGCCCCGACGCGGCGTCACCAGGAGCGGCTGCGTCCCAGGCAGGGGGTGAGCCGCCTTCCAAGCCCAGCCGCCAGCACTTGCCAGCTACGCTTCACACCACCCTCTCGCATTCGTATTTTTAATCCTTCCCTAAGCTTTTGATCATGTCTTCACAATCGCACCACGGGGACGCCAGCGACCTTCCTCCCACGCCGCGAGATGTGGAGCTGCTTCTATTTCCTGCCCGCGCCGAGTTCCGCTGCCTTCCTAGGACTTCAAAACCTCTCCAGGACAGAAAGAGGCTCATCTCAAACCCCAACTTCTATATAAAACCTTTGCGTGTCTTACGTAAAGTCCAGATGCTCAGGGGCCTGCCCCGCCACTGGCTCAGCAGCCGCAGGCCCAGCCGCGGCCCGTTCAAGCCCCCCTCGAGCACGGACGTCCGCTGCGCTCCGGACTCGGCCACCAGCAGCCGCGGGGCCGCCCCCACCACACACAGCTGTCAGGACTGACAGCTCAGAGATGCATTTGGATTCGGTTCGGATTTTGTACTCTTTCATGCCTCAAACAGACACGGGGATGTTTAGAATTCTAGCCTGAACCGTAGGCTCGTAGCCGCGTCTTCATTCACCTTCGGAACATCTGTAAGCTGCGTCACGCTCCTCATCTGGGCACGGGCTGTGTGGGCGGCAGCTGGAAGGAAGAGGGGCTCCCCAGCGATGGAAGGCTGCATCCCACGGTGCCTCGTAGCTTGGAACTGTGACCCCAGGGGCCCGTGGAGGGGCCTTTGGGACCTCAGGGGTCGGGCCACTGGGCTGCACTCACGTCTCTTACTTTTTGATTTTAATTCCTGTGTTTTGAAATCTTAGGACGAGCAGGGCCTTGGGCCCACGCAGCGGAGGACGTTCCACTCACCCCGTGTTTCGAAACCACAGCTGTTCTAGGGAGAGAGGCAACGGGCCTGAAGGACCTCCTCCAGCCCGCGTGCTTGATTTTTAACTCTAGGATTTCAAGGCGATTTCTGCTTAGCGATAAACTGAGTACATTTAATTTATCTCTATTATGTTTTTATGTATCACATTCACCTGAAAATGTAAAGACATATTCATCTGGAGCCAACGGCTCATCAGACAAATTCCAGAAGGAAAGGAAAAGCGGACTAGAGGCTGTGTCTGTCTTTCCGCTTCTGTGACTGAATGGGAGTTGGGCTGAGGATGCTTAGAGATGAAACGCCCCGCCGCAAAGCTCCCGTTTTCTTGTTTTTCTTTAATCCACAGATGCTATTCTTTTTAATAACAGAACCGTGACAGGCTGGGGTCCTCTGATCCTCCTGCAGCTGCAGGAGAGGAGCGCAGGGCTCCTGCAGGCAGACGCCGGGCCCCAGGTGGGGGGACTGATGGCGGCACAGCTAGGAAGGCGGAGGGACACACGTGGGTGGAGGGACACACCTCAGCGCCAGGCACTGTGACTGCAGGGAGAGCCGTTCAGGTGACAAAAGACAAAAGCTTGTTCAGGTGACAAAAGACCCGGCTCAGGGCACATCACCACTCCCCGCCAGACTGTGTGTCCAGGTGAGCAGGTGTGATTGTGCATAAAACACACTCATCTCGGCCATGGACGCTGGGGCCCATCCCCTGGTCAGCAGCCTGCTGACCCCCTGAAAACCAGGCAGCGCTAGGGACTGACTGGGAAGAGCGATCCTTTTCTCTCCGTGTTAAAGTACTGGTTGCTATTTAACCTCGGTGGCCCTGCCAAGGCACGTTGCTTAGACAGAGGCAGGACCGGAGGAGGAGTGAGGGCCAGGCTGGTCTGGCGTTGAAGGTGGGCAGCTTCCCTGGGAGCTCGTGCACACCTGTCCCAGGTGGAGTCGAGGCTAGCAGAGTGGAGGCCGGGCGCAGGGCTGGTGCGGACAGCTGCCTGAGCATACACGGGGCTCGCAAACACGTGCAGAGGTTCCGAGTTCATGGGGCTCCCTCGGGTGTCGGGTCCACGGTGAGACCTGAAGTCTCTGCGTTCTGCTAGTGCTCTGGATTTTGAGCATTTCATTTTGATTCTTTCTGAGAGTTTCCATCGCTGCTTACATTGCCCACGTGCTTTGCATCAAGCCTCCTTCCACTTCAGAGCCCTGAGCATGTCGGTCACAGCCAGTCTCCACAACCAGCCTGATAATCCCCCAAGTCTGCCATCCTAGTCACCTCCTTTTCTCCCACGAGAACTCGTGGCGATGGGATTAGCGCCGCCCCCAGCCCAGGATGCTCTAGCGCCCTTGGTTACACCCGCAAGGACCCTTGTATCCGAGTGATCCACATTTGCAGGTTCTGAGAATCGGGGTGTGGCTATTTCTCTCGGGGATGGATCCCCATTCTCCCTGCTGAGGGCATGGTACCCTCTTATAGTCGCCTGTGAGGACCAAGGATGCAGTTAACGTACCAGCGACCTGTGCCACGAGGGAGCTGCTGGTGACAGGGCAGGGAGATGCAGCGCCCGAAGCCACAGGAAGGAAGAACAAAGCAAAGACACTTGGGGGGCCAGGACTCGACAGACCCTTCTAGGGGGGCTCTGCAGACAGTGCCCCTTACCCCTTTCTGCCCAGACTGGGGGCAAGCAGGGGACCCCACCCCCGGCCAGCTGCCACCAGACTTTGGGACTCGAGGGCCCCAGGGCTGGCGCCCGCGAAGACAGGGTTCCCTCAGCGGCGTCCTCACCAGCACGTTGACGGTGCAGCTCATGCGGTTCTCCTTGTTCTCGTCGTGCATGATGGTCCTGTAGTCCAGGAGCCGCTCCATCAGGCGCACCACCAGCTTGACGAACGTCTCCCCGGTCTTGGCGAGGTACTTGTGCTTCCGGCAGTGCTCCAGGAGGCTGCGGCACAAGGCACGACACGCACCTGGTTAATCACGCGCAGAGAAAGAAACTCGACGCTGGTGTGCGCTGGAATATTCCCATTATTAACACATTTTAATTATATCTGGGCTACAAAGTTCACTGGAGTCTAATTACAGTCTCCCCCCCCCCACGCTGACATAAATCCCACTGTGCAGCAACACTTACATTTTATCAAATAGCACTTTGTACTGCTCGTCTCCTCTGCCTCCCTCCACTTCATGATCCAGCTTGGTGATGATCTCATTTTCAAACTATAATTAAGCAGAGGAAGCGTAAGTCATCGCAGGGCGGATGCGCCGTTGCAGGACTTGGGCGTCAAGAGCACGCGAGCCGGAGGACACCGCGTCAGGCGGTCGCCCCGCCCCGGGAGCCGACTTCTCTTGGGGGGCGCCCCGACGTCCCGCTGTGGGGCACGTCCCGTGCCCCCGGGTGATGGCGCCTGAGCAGCACGTCCAAGAGCAGGAGCAGGGCCCAGGGAAAGACAAGGAAACCGCAGGGGACACAACGGAGACGCAGCAAGAAAACACATCTCGAGCTCGTCGCTATGAACCAAACACCCGACTTAGCTCGTGGCTCCTGGAAAGAAAAGACGGCGTTTCACCGGCCAGCAGCGTTCTCTGCTGTCTGGAAACATCCAAGGCCACGTGGCTGCCACTCATCCACAGCGAGACCTCTCAGTTTGGGTGAAAAAACAAAAAAAAGAGAGGGCAAGTTCTCGAAGCCCTCAGAGGGGCCATCTCCAGACGCCCTTGAACGCCCTGAAGTTTGAGATTGCATTTCCAGAGCACCCTGGTGGGAAGCATCCTTGGAACTGGCTAGTTGTCTCTCCGACCCCCACCCCACCCGCCACTCCCCGCTTCAAGAAAAATCCACTGTTGAGCAATTCTCCAAGATACATTCATGGGGGCCATGAACCCCTTGCTCACAGACTGGAAAGAACCACTTTGATCCTGATGGCCATGGGCCCGCATCCTGGCTGCCTAGTCCCCGGGCCTGGCAGGACTCAGAGCTGGGATTCTGGCTCGGGTTGCAGAGAGCCCTGTGGCTCCCCAGGGGCCCAGGCCAGGAACAAGGCAGGGCCGCGAGAGTGTTAGTTCCCGTAGAGAGGGGCTGGCCTCCCAGCGCTGAAAGAAATTGACAAAGGACTGAAGGGAGCAACAACTGAATTCGGGGTTCAGACAGCAAGTGCATGTGGCTCGTAGGCACGGGTCTCGGGGTCCCTTTAAAAAAGATGCTCAGATGTTACTTCCCCAGGTCCCCACATCCCCCACTGTTATGAGGATCCCATAGGAATTTAAGCTGTGAGGGAGAATTTTTTCCCTCTGGGTCACTGCTGGATCCCAGCATCTGGACCAGCACCCGAGTCAGGGCTCCGGGGAACGGACGAGCCTTGGGGTGGCTGTATGGCTAGAGCCCCAAGAAAACCAGATCTGGGCGGGGTAACGTGTCAGCCATGTTTGTTATGGGAGGTGGGGGCGGATGGTGGGGAAGCAGAAGGTGCCGGTTGGCGAGACCAGGGAAGAGCCGCCGAGACCAGGCCCGCCTGGCCTTGATGGGGCCGCGCTGCCCAGGCCACACTTCCCCCGGGCCACGGTGAAACAGGACAGGACGGGGGAGGAGAACCCATCAGTGTTGACAGCAACCGCTGGGCGACATCCCAGAAGCAGGGACCGTGGCGGGTCACGGCCGCTGTCTCCCTGATTCCCGTCTCCCCCCCAAGTCAATACCTGCTTTCTGATCCGGTTTGGTCGAGAAGTTCAGGGGTTTTAGGAACACAGAGGAGGCTCTAGTGAAAAAGAGCAGCTTGTGATAAGGACTTTTACTATAAAATCACTTTTTGAGACTCACCCACTCTGCTTTTTATAGAAAAGGATTTTGCAAAAGGTGGTGCCTTTTGGGATCCAGAAAAAGGGCGATTACTTCCGACAAGCCCCAGACTGGCATTTCAAGGCAGCCCCATCTCCCGGAACACCGAAAGTCAAGGGTTGGGCGAGTGCTGATTTTTTAAAACAAATCATGGGGATGCAAAATGGGGCTCAGTTAAGTGAGAACATGGGTGACTGCCCAGGGGGAGGAAGCCTGCAGAGGACAAGCAGGCCCCGCCCTGCCAGGCGCACACCCGGGTTTCAAGCAGCTCATCACTGGTTCACCAGGGGGCTCTGAGCTTGGAGCCCACTTTGTGAAGACGGATGTTTTCTCTGCTTCCGCACAAACCCCGCTGTCACAAACAGGGCGCTAGGAAGCTGCCACCCGCAAGTATGCTGCTTATCAAATTTTGACTGATGAATTTAATGTTTTCTAAAAAGAGTGGCTGAATGATAAGTAAATCAGAAGAACACAGCTGATTCTAATTTTACTAACCTCTAGTCTAAACGGAGTAATTTGCACAAACACCTGCCAACCCGCTTCGGCTTTTCAGCAAGCAGAGACCTGTGAGCAGCCTCCGATTCCGGGGCCCCATCATTTTTACACAGCGTCCTAGAATCAATTTGCTGGTGTGCTGCGGACTGTTATCACAATCAGAATTAAGCTGTCATGTCCAAATAAACTGCAGAAGGCGCATTTGCTGATAGAACAGAGCTGGTTTCATTAAAAAAAAAAAAAAAAAAAAAAGCTTTCTGGTAATCTGCAGCGGGGTTCTGTGGTGGTTGGGATAAAATTAGCAAGGGTTTACTGCATGCTCCAAAGGTGGCAGAAGCTCACTCACGTGACAAGCAGAATCACTGCATTTTCCTCTGTTTTCTGAATCACCAATATTGCTGCAAAAATATCCAGCGTCGGAGGGGGCGGAGCAACATGGCGGCGAGGAGACGCTGCCAGTAAGATCTCCCATTAAAAAAAGTGAATAGGGAGGAAAAGCGGCAGGTCCCAGTGAGAACTGGGACACGGAAGATAAACGGGTGACGCCAGCGAACTGCCCGAAGAAGAAAGTGGCCATAAAAGAGGACTAGAAGGGAGGGAAGCACAGAACCCTGCTCCCCTCCCCCGCCCACAGAGGCGGCACTCTCCGACCGGCAGAGAGGAGGAAACAACAAACCAAAACGGCCCACAAGAACAAACGACGCAGCAAGCAGGACTGTGCGTGGAAAGGAACTATTGCAGCCACCACACCCCGTGAACGGGAGCTGAGGCGAACCCTGCAGGATCCGCCGCGGCGGTGAGCGAACGGCTCCGGGCGCCAATAGAGAAGAACAAAGACCCCGGGAGACGCGCACCCAGCCCGGGCTGCCGGTAAGCTGGCGCGGAAACGCGGCGCACTCAGCGCACTTGAAAAGCAAGTGCAGACCTGGATCGCGGCTGCCCAGGTCCCCGCGCCTGCGACCTAGGCTTGCGGGGAGACTACCTAGGCTTGCGGGGAGACGCGCGGAGGTCCTCACTGAGGTGAAGGTCCCTCCCTGAGTGAGCAGGAACCAGGCGCCCGGGCACGGGAGCGGTGCAAAAGGCGCCATTCCCGCGCCCACTGAACTGGGCTACAGCCCGCGTCCTGGAACTGAGGGCTTTGAACTGAGACCCGGGGCACGAAAATTCGGGGCGTGGTTTCTCCACGACGGTGGGGCACAAGGCAGACACAGCACCCCAAAGCTGTTGAGGTGTACCCTACCATTCCCGCTCTGTTCTCTGTCCCACGGGGTGGGGGGAGGCGAAAAACAGCCCCCCAAGGACAATAGGAGAGATCTCTGGCGCCACCTAGCGACCAGGAAAAAAAAAAAGTCACTAACACCCTATAAAACAGGACATTTCTTAAGACTGCTTGAAAGGGCAGAAGGTTTCTGGAGGACCCAGTGGCCAGCCGGGAAGTTATTCCACGCCAGGCCCCTTCCGACCAGCAGTCTGAGCCCACAGAGGGAGCAGGCACCCACGTCCGGGGCAGACCAGGTGCGCAGAAGAGTGTGCCTGAAACCGGAGGCGCAGGGACTGCATCCCGCTTCGCCATTTGAGAACAGGGACATTTCTTCAGTAAAAACTGCCTAAAACCAGCAGAAAGCTCCCCCAGAAGACAGAGATGGCTCCTGGAAGAGCCAGAGGGGAGCGGAGAAGTTCACCCAAGATGTCAGTCAGTCCGAGCAACACAGTGTCCCAAACGCATACGACAATTAGAAAACAGACAGTAGGGAGTAGAAGAACCACACGCAACCTAAAAACTCCTCAGAAAGAAGCACACCACAAAAAGAAAACCACTCCCCAGATTGCAACGACAGCAACTTGGAAGAACTTCTGAGCCTTCCAGAAAGAGAATTTAAAATTGCCATGATTAAAAAAGTGATAGATCAGAAGAAGGAAATTGAGTCCCTAAAGAGGGAAGTAAGAGAAATGCAGGAGATCAAAGAATTAATGGAGGAACTAAAGAACTCTGGGAAAAGCAATGAAAGCAGAATAGATGAAATGGAAGAACGAGTAAGTAATCTTGAAGACACAGAAATAAAAAGAACCAAAACAGAAAAGGAAAGAGAAGTACGAAGGAAAAAGAATGAAGAAAGACTTCGGGAACTATCTGACTCCATGAGGAAAGGAAATATAAGAGTTATAGGAATTCCAGAAGGAGAGGAGAGAGATGTAGGAACAGAGAAAATATTCATGGATATAATTGAAGAGAACTCCCAAATGAGAAGGAGCTGAAAATTGATATACAAGAAGCAAGAAGAACACCAAACTTCCACGATGAAAGGAAAAACACAGCAAGACACATAATAGTAAAGCTCCCAAGAAGCCAGGACAAGGAAAATAATGAAGCTGACAAGAGGGAAGAAACAGATAACATTCAAAGGAAAACCAATCAGGCTGACCATCAGACTTCTCTGAAGAAACACTACGGGCAGGAGAGAGTGGAGACATAGTCAACAGACTCCAAGAAAAGATGCCAACCAAGAATACTCTAGCCCGCAAAGCTCTCTTTCCTCCATGAAGAAAGAATATGGACCTCCCAGACAAAGAGAAACTCCGGAATTTCATTGCGACTAAACCCCCACTCCAAAAAATACTACAAGGAATCCTAAAGCCAGAACCTCAGAGGGACGAATAACAACGAAAGAAGACCAAAAAAAAAAAAAAAAGTTATTAAAAGAATAATAAATAATCAAAGGAAAGACAAACATAATGGCAAATACAGATGCTAACATATCAATATTAACTCTAAATGTAAATGACTAAACTCTTCAATAAAAAGACACAGAGTTGCAGCCTGGATTAAGAAACAAAACCAACCTTTTGCTGTCTCCAGGAAACACATTTAGCTACAAAAGATAAAATAGGC